TGTGTGGTGTACGATGGCCTCTCGGTGGAACTGCGTGATAGACTCAAAAGACTTATGAATTGCTTCGTAAGATTTGTAATCGGAACCCCGAGACGCTCCCGTGTCTCCCACCACTACACTGAGTTAGGGTGGCTCTTCCCCTCCTTAAGAAGACAATATTTCCTTGGCACTTTCCTTTATCAAATCATTACCGATCATCGTCCTTCTTATGCCTACAACCTTCTCCAATTTAAGTCCTCAATCCATTCACTCACTACAAGATCCCGACCCTCTGACCTATACATCCCTTCTCATAGATCTGCCTCATTCCAAAATTCCTTTATAGCCCGCTCTGTCAACTTTTGGAATTCCCTCCCGATCAAAATTCGACATGCCCCTTCCTTGTACACATTCAAAAACCTCCTATTCCAATTCCTGTTCCAAAAACAGTCAGATACCAGCTAACGATTAATATTATATATGTATTGTGTAGCAATCATGTAATCATAACACTTGGTAAGAGATAGTACATGCATTTCCTACTATCGACGTAGGAATTTCAACACACACATTTTTTTGTATTTTTTTTTTTATTCAATTATAAGTAACTGTTTATTTTCATATATATATTCAAGTAAAGTTTTTTTTTTTATGAAATGAACTCATTGTATCTCTTTTTCGTTCTTCATTTCTCAAAGTGTATGTTTATGTTGTTCAACCCTTAAATATAATTGTGTTCATAGTTCAAATGATTCGTTCATAGTTTTAATTGTTTTATTCATAATTTTAAATGCTCTGTACATAGTAGTATCTGTATTGTATATAGCTTGTGCACCTAAGGTTTTCTTTACTTTTTATTTTATTTTATCAATTTCATTTATTGTTTCAACGTTCAGGCCAGTAATATTCTATTATTTTGTACATTATTGTTATTCTGAAGGGACTTAGTCCCAGAATAAAGTTTTTTTTTCTATCTATCTATCTATATATATATATATATATATATATAATTATTTAATAATGAATTAAAAATATACACTTGATATAAAATTTCTTCAAATATATTGGAATTAAAATCGTTTATTTCCAAAGTGAACCCTTATCATTATGAACAGTTTTTCAGGACGTGCGAAAAACTATTTTTCTATTCTAATCATTTAAAAACATTGAAACTTCAATAAGATTCTTTTCGAAGAGAATTAAACTATAATGCCCATTTTTAAATAAAAAATGGTGTACGATTGGGGAGGAGGGAAAGTAATAAAAATTATAACAGAGAGAGAAATACTTTATTAAAAGTAATACTGCCCTACTACATAGGGTTGCTTAGTACACAGCATACTTATCAATCCATACGGACATTAATTTTACATTATATTTTTCTATTTTTTATATATGTATATATGACATATCTTTCCTTTCTTCCCCCCCTCCTTTCATAACAATATTCTTACAAATTATCAACAATAAAATCATATTAAACAATATACATAGCATAATAAACATTTCCCCAAGATAAAAAAAATTTTCTTTTTCTCTTTAAATTCTCAAATGCCAGGAACTCAATACAACATCGCACACATATATAACAGCAATTCCTCGAATGTAGACAAAAAGATAAGACGATTATGGACCAATTTAAAATTTAATAAACATTTAATACAAGACGTCCTCAATCAGTATATAGATGATCCCCAAGGAGTCCAAAATAATATTTTCGGCCAATATCGCGAGCTCCCCAACATCAACACCTAGTTTCTCGAGGAATCTCCTTGATATTTCCGGGATCGTTGCGTGAGACCCAAACCAGAGGCCTCTCACGGTGAACTCCCTCTCTCTGAAGGTCTCGCAGAATTTTTTTTTTAGAAAAGGGGTGCATTTTTCATATATATTCCTCTTTTCCCTGTTATAAGGAGGGATTTGTTGGGGCATTTTCCCAGCACATGGGCTGGTGTTTCCGACTCTCTGCCGCATTTACGACAGAGGGACCCAACTTCCTTCGATTTTCCACTGGCTCCTGGGACTCCGCGTAAAGGTGCATAATTGATGTTTAGTTTTAAGGCGTTGGACCATTCCGACCCTGAAAGCACTTGTTTCTAGCATATGTATTTATTGGCTTTCAGGGTCTCTTTAAACTCTAATGCCTTGCCACCTGCAGCTGGCCCATTCTTCGAAAGAGTTTTCTCTCAGCGACTGTCATAGAGCTCTCACGCTTCAGTGGCCCTGATCCACTCCCAGTCTTTCCGCAAATTCTGCGATTTCCTTATTATAATCAAATAAAATTAATGAGGAAGGAGATCGTCTGGGTTGGCTGTCATAAAAAGATTTGTAATAGTGAAAAAACTAGTTTAAAACTATTTTTTTACCATTTTATGTTTTTTTACTTTCACTTACCGATATATGTAGTATTGAATGAGGGTAAGTATTGCAATAGTCAACATTTTCGATCTGAGTTTTCAACAGAAATACATGTTTTGAGGTCTAGGTCTCCTGAGTCAATATAACTAAATTCCACAAAATGGTCTGTGTTTTTGTTTGTATATGTATGTGAACACCCTTGTTTAAATACGATACTGAAATTGTGTATTTGAGGTTTTTATAAGCCTTGGATGTTACAGCAACATTTTTGTCAGAATCGACAAACTGGAAATGGTACTTTATAATCGTATGGTATTTATAAATCGATTTAATGCAATTTATGATTTTCTCAAAAACGGCTCTAACGATTTTGATTAAACTCAGTATATCAGTGTGTTATTAAGCAGTTTTTAATGTAATCAAGGTTTTATTCTCATTGATGTTCTCTAACAGTGCTTAAATGGCTAATTTTCAATATTAGCTTCCTCTAAAGTACCTTTAATTTTTTTTCATTGGAAATAATTAACCATTTCATATTAATCTTTGATATAAAAAATAGTTAAATATAAGGTATGAAAATTGTTTTTAATTAAGTAACGAAGAAATAAGAGGTCGTAACGGATAATAGTTGTAATGGAGGAACTAAATGAATACGAGCTTGCCCAAGCTCACCGAAAAGATATAACAGGCTTCCTTACGTAACATGAGATTGATATAATACAGTGTAAATAACATGTTTTAAGGTTAATTGTTAAAGACCTTTTTTTGCGGGTGTTTAACTGTTGTTGGGAATTCGGGAATCTAATACCTTTTGTGACACTGAGTGAGAAGGAACAATAAGAATATATATTTGAAATGTGGGACTTAGTAAATACACTTTGATTGAATTGACTCACCTGGTTTGTTATTCTTCAATCGTGAGGACAACTAAATAAATAAATGACTTTTCACTCCTGTATAATAAAAAAAATTATTTTATAACTGTAATAAATGAATGTATAAAAGTCTTATAACTAACTGTAGGCTTGATTTCTTAGTCTTCAATGTAGTATCTCTCTCTTCTGACAACCTCCTCTCTTCCTGTCCAGGCCTATCGTCCACTCGCTTCCGTGTCCTAGCCTCAAGTGCCTCTCCAGCTGTCCTAGCTACCTGCCCTGACCTTTTTCCAGCGTCCTTCTTCATCGATTGTTTATCGATATGAGACTTTTCCATGAATAATTTGTCCACTGCATAATTGAGTACGATTCATCGTGCAACCTCACATTCCTATATATTATATATTTCTTCTCATTCCCTCACACAATGTCACATGAAGGAGTAAATACACAGGGCTATCTACTACTCTGACAATATTATGTATATATACATATTTGGTTTTCATAAATACCATCGTTGGTATTATTTAATATTTAATTGTATAGATTATAGATATAAATATTAAAATTTGTATATATAAGGTTATTTAAACAAATAAAAATACCCAAAATGAAATGAAATATAGCGTCTGTAATTTTTACTTTCCCTTTCCCCTTTATCTGAAAATACTCATTTCTGCTATGAAGAGGGTGGTAAATGAATGTCGTGCCTGTGATGCACTCACCAGATTTTTATAACTGCCCCTGGACCATCTCCTTCCTCGATATTATACAACGGTTAACTATTGAGTATTCTTTAAAAATTTACTTTTGTTTACAATAATGACATAATAAATTAAATTAATTTTCAAATTTCATTTGAATAAAAGAAATGAAAAAAAAGCTTTTGATGATTTTTTTAAAAATAATGTTTAAGAAATACAAGTTTCAATATGTTCCTTGGAAAAAAATATAGGTAAGTGAAAGTAAAAAGGCTGCTTTTAGAAATAAGCTTATTTCACATACCTTTTTTCTTTATTTATTTAGGTTTGCTTTTTAAAATAAAGTAATTCCACAATTGGATTTATTGCCTTTTTTTACATGAGAATCAATACTTATTTTTGGGTTAACTTTGGAAATAAATGACTCAATTTATAATAAAACGAAATCTATAATATTTTATGACTCGCCTCATTATTATGCATAAAACCATAATTGGATATTACGGGAATTTATTTCATGGATGATAAGGGTATTTATTAGTAATGGTTCACAATTAATTTACTGAATTCATAATTTTTTTTTTTGTTTTTATGTCAAATTTAAAAACTTTTTATTTGTTTATTTTTAAGAAAAGGGGATTATGTTTCAGTGACAGAAGAAGCCCAGTTGTACGTCTTAATTCTGAGGAAATTGATCTTACGGCTCCTGGCAACAAAACAGATTATTTTGATTTACATTAACATTTTTTTCTTTATTTTCTTTTTGCCCCTTTTATTGTAAATTAGTATTGTAAAAACTAATTTTATTATTTTTATAGTAAATTTAATGCTCATATCTCTTTGCACTAGTAGTTATTTAGTTAGTTCTTTTCCCTTTTATTTTGAAAATACTCTTAATTAATTTATGTTATAAAAATTTTCAACATTATCCCTTTTTCCATTTCACTCTTCGAAGCATTACTTATAACTACTCCTATCTGAAGTAACATTAGAATAAAATAGAACTAGTGTAATTTTTTTTTTCAATTTTTTTTCTTGTAGTTTTTATTTTATTTTTTGTTTTGTTTTGCTTTTTTGCAATTTTCAGTATGTGCTCAAACGGAGGTAAAAAGTTGCAGCAAGCTAAAGTTCTTTGTGGTTACAATGCTAGAGGTCCACAAGAAATATCATTAATAGCTGATGAGGTTTGTAAAATAAATATATTTTACAAAATTATATTTCTTGTGTAATATAGCATATTATATCTTAAATGTTACCATTTATTACTGTATATTTTATAATTTTTTTATTATAATTATGATTCTTGAAATATAAATTATACTTTCTAATAATCATTATTATATTGATTATTGGTTTATTATTTTCAATAATCAACCAAAAAATACAAAAACTTAATCCCCTCTCAAAATTTGAGGTTTCACGTTTCAGGATGTGTAGAATTCGAAAAACAAAAAAAATTTTTGTCCATCCGCGCATTTTCTCCAAAACTACTGGACCAATTTTTTGAAATTTGGATATAAAATCAGAGGTCACCCGAGGATGATCCTCCTTCATCGACATTACCATCCGCCTTTTACTTTCAAAATGGCGGCCAAAAAACCTGCGTTGCTATAGACTGTAGCTCCTAAACGAAAGTACTGATTTCAATGAAACTTTGCTAAAGTCATTTTCTTGACGCCCTTTAAATTTATCTATATAACATACTTCAACGAAAAAAAGCTGGAAAAAAAGTTACGAGGGATGGTAAAATTAAATTCCGAATACTCAAAAAGTTTACACTTTTTTGTCAATAATGTATATTGTTTTTTAAAAGTTTACGAAATTTCCTGAAAACCAAAAAAATCAGACGATTAGGAGCAAAGATATGGTCTCCGGTTTTTTTAATATGTTCTACTCCAAATGTTATATCCTTTGTTTGGTTTTTAAATTTTAAATACGTTACTGATGTAATGCTATTTTTTTTAGTATATTACCAACGATTAAAAAAAAAAGTTTAGTCCAATAATTGGAATAACCTTTTATTTATTTTTCTTTGTTACTATGAAGGTAATGTTACTTTAGATGTATAATTGTCTGGAAATAATAAACCATTGCGGAATAATTTGCAGCGTTTTTATTATTGTATTGAAGTACAGCTCTACCAAAGTTAGTCCACAGCTCTAGAGCAAACTTATGAATATTACTTTTTTTTTTTAACTGTGGCATGAATGCAGCACAGCCATGAAGGCCTATTGTACGCCTCTATTAAAGTCACTCCTATTAGAGCGTAATTCCTGCAGTCTCAATGAACTGAAGTAAGCTTGTCGGGTTGATGAGTTTGTCTTGGGATCAATTACCCTATCAATGCTGAATAATCGGAATCTAAGTCCAGCAAACATGTCGTACCAACAAATGCTATGATAAGCAGTTTCATCCTCTTGACCACAGAACCTACAAAGAGACGACTCCGTTGATTAATGAACATATGAAAATTAAGTTGACAGTGTCCAGTGTATATGGCTGTAATTATCTTAAGTGAGCTTCATTTTCAAACTTCCGTATCTATTGGACTCTGTTATTACTGGTACTTATTGGTAACTCTGTACATACTTACCTACATAGGCTACCTTCCTATACCGAGCCATTACAGCACGGCGACCTGCCTATATTCTACAGATTCTACAATTTAAACGCTCATTTCAATCCTGTCCCACCAGATCCCGTGTATCCGACTTCTATCCTCCTCCTCACCGAACTGCTGCGTTTGATAAATCCTTTTTAATAAAAGTTGTCTCCCTCTGGAAGAAATACCTTCAGATATTCGACATGCAAAGTCAATATGCTCTTTCAAATCTCTCCTCTTCGAACCCCTACTCCATTCCCAATCCGATTGATCACGAAATTCACTTAAAAACCTAAGCTGTAAAAACCTCAAAGTACACCCAGATACTCTGATTATTTTGTAATTCATTAATATTTTGTTCACTTAATTACTTTCTCTGTATATTTTAAATCGTACTCAAATCTTTTCTTTGATCAATTTTCAGGAAAATAAATCTAATTCAATTTTTTTTTTGTTTCTTGATGAACATATATAAAGATATGAATAATTTTCTGAAATAGGTAGGCAAGTCGTGTGAATGGAAACACCAGATTTTTTTTCCTTATGATTATGTGAGCTCATCTGTTGATTGTTGATAGTTGTAATTGACAGGTGCGGATTAATAAATGATAGTTCTAAAAAAAAAAGAGATTGCTTTTTAGGACCCTTTAAAACTCTTACAAACTACAAACCTTCAGTACTTTATTTTCTTGGATGAGTTTTTTCTGGCCGTCAACTAAATCATTCATTACTCCTCTTCCAACTGACACCATTAACTTTTGGATTTCATTTTTTTTTTCAATATATAAATTAATAACAACTTTCTACCCATTTTAATTTTATATGTTTAGTTTTAATTTGTTTACGAAGCTAGGCTTCATGCCATTTCGTGTAGAACACAGAGGACTAAATCTCTATTAATTTTAGTGTGGATCGGTGAAGCCGTTCTAAATTTATCATAAGTTTTATGGTAATTAAGGAAATTTCGAAGTGTGTTAAAAATTTAAATTTTTAGATTGCTCTAAAAATTTGTATTTAAGGATTTTTTGAGGTGGGAAAAACGAATATCAACTTTTTTTCTCCCTAAAAAATGATTTGCTTTAGATACCAGACCAGTTTTTAATAAATATTTTATGTGGCAGTTAGCTACAAGTATAGGGACAATTTGGACCGACCCACGTAGCAATGTGGGAGTAAATATTAATATTAATAAGAATTAATTTTTCCTTCGTGGATATCCTATGAAAGATGTCTCATTGTGTTATACATATTATTTTGTAATTTGCTGAAAATTTTGCATGAGAATACTTCTAATATTCTTTTAAATATTTATACTTTGTACACATGTTTATTTTAATCGATGTTTATTAATTTTGTTTCAGATAGTTGCAATTGAGAAAATTTCCGATAACGAACCAGATTTCGTGCTAGCTCATAGAGGAGAACTGGTAGGACGTGTGCCGCTGGCATACTTAGAGGTGCTTCCATAACCTCCTTAAAAAAACTAAATTATTAACATCTAGCTATATTGAAAGACTGCGCCTTTCTAGAATATCTATGCTTTAAATTAAAAGAAAAAAATATATATTATCACAATTATTAGGTAGAGATTACTGTAAATCGAACTATAACTTTTAAGATCTGATTAAAAGTATAAATAATTTTCGCTTAGTTATAAAATTAATAATAAAAAAATTTAATGTAAAATTAATTGATTAAAAAAATTTCATTCACCTTTTGGTATTGCCACCTTAAAGGCGATTCAAAGTTAGGCCTAAATCATCAGTTTAACAGCTGATTTTTATGGATTATAGCAATTTGACTTCAGTCTCTCTTTTTTTTTTTCTCTAATATTTTATAATTCATTTAAATGTTTTTCTATATTCTGGCTTAGTATAATGTTTTGTAAATATGATTATTTTTTAAGTGCCATTACGTGGTCATGTAAGTACTTAGCATGAACATATAGATGACTAAGAAGTGATTCCTCGTATCCGCCATTATAATCTTATTATAACAATGATTAATGTAGTCATGATTTTTCATAGAAAAGAAGAAAAAAAGTTTAATGGATTTACCAGTAATGAGGTTCCACTTTTTAGTCATAGAGATATATTTAAATAGTTGCATTTCCTTCACATTCCATTTTCAAGTTTATGTACAGTTAATTATTTAATGTTTATATCATTATTGTTATTTTCGATTAAGAAATATTTTGTAAGCTATTTTAAAGACATTATTGTTATTAAAGTTCGAATGTCTTCTAGTTGTTATATTAAATAGTGTAATTTTGTTAGCACCTTTGTAAATCTTGAGTAATACTATAATAAAGTCAAGCTTTTTTATAATTTATTTAATATTTATTGCCATAAATTTTCTTATTTTGTTTTTTTTTTATATTAGCTTAGATCAGGGATCTCTAAACGTTTTGTTCTGTAGGCCACACCTCCACTATGTCCCGTGGGTCATGGCTTGTGACGAATCAATGACATTTCAGTTGTGAAATGAGCTTTCTAAAAGAAACAACTCATACAATAAATGTTGTAATAACCTCCCATTTGAGTGATATACTAAATTTCGTATTTTTTAAAATTTTACAATGTAATCAAAGAAACTTTCACGGGTTGTAGTTCGGAGACTCCTGGCTTAGATTAACATGAGTTATTTGAGGCTCAAGGGAGTATAAGTGACAAAAATTATGTTTAGAATAAATTATGTTTAAAGTTAAAACCTCTTCAGTAATCACAATGAGATTTCTACATTGGGCGAACTTTCAGTACTTCTAAAGCCATTCTTACAATTTTTTTTCTCATAATGATGTAGAGATGGTTGACCGTTGATATAATATGAGGAGTTGATCGGGGGGTGCAAATTAATACTAAATTAAACAAGTAGAATTATTTAATTTTTGCCGACGTTTCGACCCACTTAGCAGGTCTTCATCAGAGCTACAAAAGATACAAAACATGGTGAAAATAAAATAAATGAATATAAGTAGATATAAAATAAGAAGTTGTCTGATACAGAAATAAAAAGATGATATCAGAGATATAGTGGTTGACATCTTTTTATTTCTGTATCAGACAACTTCTTCTTATTTTATATCTACTTATATTCATTTATTTTATTTTCACCATGTTTTGTATCTTTTGTAGCCCTGATGAAGACCTGCAAAGTGGGTCGAAACATCGGCAAAAATTAAATAATTCTACATTAATTTGACCACACACCCCTCCCCCCGATCAACTCCTTCTCAAATATAAAAATATTTTAAATTATTTTTTGATGAATTGTACTTATATCCCTTTACAACCAACTAATATATTCATAATTGAAGAGAAGATATAATAACTGACCTTATCATTATACACTGTTACTTTGAGTTTTAAAGAATTTTTTGGGGATTTCAATACCTTTGTAAGAAAGAAGAAAGCTCTGTTTGCTTTTGTTATACATTGGTCTAAAATTATTGTAAAGCCAACGTGAATTTGTCTGCTTTTAGTCACGATTTCCTTCCTATACAAATTCTATTTTTGGCTGTAGTATATTTTCTTTGATCTTCACTTGTAGGTCGATTTGCTTCACTTACCTTAACAGTTTTAGCTGGTCTCTTAAATGTTTCTAAGGACAGTAATGTCATCTTGTCATGTAAGAAATGTAAGGATGCAAAAAAAAAAAAAAAAAAAAAATATGGTACCATGCTATCATAGTTATTTGTTTTGTTTCGGCTTAACATCCTTATGTAATCAAATTAGGATGGAGAGGTCACTCCAGGCAATAAAATATAATAAATAACTGCCAATACGACTATCAATAAGTGGCATGTAATAGGATGAATAAAAAAATGACCATTTTTCTATTATTATACGTATTTGTATTATTATTTCTTTGATATAGAATATTATTAATACTCAAATTATAGTCCATTATTATCTACTGTCATTAGCCACCTGCTAGCCAATTGCTCGATCCCACGCTGATAACATTCTTTGGGATGGCTGTCAAAGAACTCTTGGACCTCAATTTCAATTTCCACAAAATTATCAAATTTTTCCTTGAAGAAAATAGGCCATGGATCTAAATAAGTAGTAATTCAATGGTGTGAGGTCTGGATTGTATGGTGGATGAGGCAGGATTTTGAACCCATGAAGTTCTTTAAACTTTTCTTTAATTCGACTGGAAGTGTGAGGACGAGCGTTATCTTGGAATAAAATTCCGTTTTATATGATGAAAGCAGGATAACGCTCTGACAACTTCGCGTACAATCTTTCTAGTTGTTCGCAGTAGAGTTCAGAATTCATAGAGCATCCATCAGGAACAAATTTGTGATTAATAACACCTTCAAGATTTTAAAAACACAAAGCATGGATTTTTTTTCAAATTGCCCCCTTGCAGCAACCGCAAAAGCAGTTTGCTCACGGGTATTCGGATTTTGCCAGTAAACCCACTTTTCATGACAGGTGGCAATCTTGCTGATTGCAGAGGAGTAAGTTTGTGAGGTACCAGTCAACTGCTCTTTTTCACCTTCCCCATGGAGAATAGATAGCGACTAACAGTATATTTCGAATTTTTAAAAAGTTTCACTGCCACACAGTGTGCTAGTCAAGGGCTCCTTCCCCATCATATTTAATAATTTGCCAAGTTGCTTCAGCAGCTGTGAATTTTTTTTTCCAGTAATGCCTTAAAATTAAGAGAATTTCGTAGGACACGTCATGTTTCTTCTTTGAAACAAATAACTAAAGTAAGGCTTTTTTTAAAGAAGTTGAATGGGATTAAACAAGTGCTCTAAAGGGATTGATAAGTATTAAATTGGATTAAAATATTTACAGTCCTTTGAAATCTTCAATTTGATAAAATGGTCATTTTTTTTTTATATACACCCTATTAAAATGTGTCCTATTTTAAAAATCAACTATCATTATTATTATAATAAGGGGAGCGCCAAAATTGGATCTTGCTCGATCCTAAAATTTGCCTCTAGCCGTTACTGGTTATCATACAGGTAACCAACCGTTTCTAGCCACATTGAGAAAGTTGAGATTTTTATTACATGGGGCTACAGTAAAGTTAATTTAAACCCGCCTATATGGGATTCGAACAGACACAACTTCTGACTCGAGAATGCTAAAGCAGGTTACACCTTAACACACTTGGCCCATGGTAATAGTGTCAATTAAAAAAAGAAAGTCAATTCATAGAAAAAATATATCAGTTTATTGGTTTCCACTATAACCCAATACAAACAGGATTTTATACTTAAAAATGTGAAATATAATTATATATAAATATATACAATACAGTTATTTAAAAACTGAATAATTTTCTCTTCTAAAAATTTGCTGTCAACATTTCCATATCAAACATATCCTCTAAAATTTCATCTACTTTAGTGCCAATCTTTTTGGCTATTTCATGTCTTTCGTTAAGAGATAGCGTAAGATATAACCAGACCAATTCACCATCAATAACACCTTTTGCAGGATTACCGAGTAATTTTGAAGAACTTTTGTACATTCTGAAACAAAATGAAGAAACATGAGTATATAAAAAATTTTGAGCAATAATAATCAGCACAGCAGATAATTTGAAATAATGAGAAAACAAAATTAAAATTTTTCATCAAATGGCTAAATAATAATAAGAAATAATTATTATATAAAAAAGTTTTTAATTAGTGACTGTCATATTTTATTTTATTTTAGTATTAGGAAAGTAGGAGGATTACAAGAGCTCAATTTTTCAGCTTAGTCGTCTATAGGAGACTACTCAAGGGAGTAGACTTGACAGTGGCGATCTCCTATGGTGATTATTTTACAAATTATACAACTGTTCATTTAATTACATACATGTTTAGCTCCTGTTACCTCCTACTCCCCTAATATAAAATAAAGATTTTAGAATAAAAATTTGTTTGGGAAATATATATATTTTTGATACTTCTTGTCTAGGAGACCGGACTGAAACCTCACTTCTTATCTATCTTATCTAATGTCAAGTCACATAACCTCCCTCTTCTTATCCCGCCAAACCTTTGAGTTATTGCATTGTTTAGTTTTCAGTTATTCCCTTATTACGTTCACTTATTAAATTCTTTACTTTTGGCACGTTTGTGTTTATTTTTCATTATTTTTAAGTTTTGGTCCGTTTGTGTTTATTTTACATTTTTTTTTTGGCCCCTTTGTGTTTATTTTTCATTTTTTTCCGTTTATTTTCGTCATATTATGGATCTTCTTAGAATATGGGATCTGCCGTCTTCAGAAAAACAGGAAATTCAATATTTGCAAAATGTTGGGGTACTTGCCTACGTGAAATTGTGTGCATGAGGTCATCGAATGAAGTTAACCAGGAAGGCCAAATGGAGATGCTTTCGTAGGACTAATGACACAAAACTTTCAATAAGGAAAGGAACATGGTTGGAGGGCTCGAGGATTTCGTTTTTAACAGCTTTAAAATTGATTTATGGGTGGTCCCATAGCTTGACAACAATGAAGTGGGACAAAGAGCAGCTGAAACTATCCTACGGAGCAATGGTAACGTGGGACAAATGTCTAAGAGAGGTTTGTGCCCATGACATGTTATACAGGCCAAGAAAAAAAATTGGAGGACCTGGCAAAGTGGTTGAAGTAGACGAAAGTCTTTTTTCTAAATGAAAAAATCATGTGGAGAGAGTTTTACCTCAGCAGTGGAGTTTGGGGAGAAACAGATGAATGTTTTATCTTTTTATAAAACAGATTTTATGTTTTATATTTTTTCTTTTCTATGTAAATATGTTCTTTTAAATGTGTTTTTTTATTATTTCATTAATATATTTGTCGTCAAATAAAAGTATTTTTTTTTGTTATTACATTTGTTTTTGTATCTGTTTACACTTTCAATAATACAAATTTTATACAATAATAGGAAGATATGAAGTAGGAGAAGGCTTATTTATCACTGCGTTATGGGAGTTATCAAGTGTTCAGGTTATAAACATTGGCAGATAGCAGTCAGTATATTTTTTTATGTTGATAACAAATTTATTTTATATTAATAAAAAAATTCTTTTATATTGTTAAAAAAATTCTTTTATGTTCATAAAAAATAATAAAATCTGAACTTCAGAACACATATAAATTAAAGTTATACAATCTGAGCAAGTGTATCTTAACACGACGCTGTGTTGGAGAGACAAAAAGGAAACAATAGTGTCCAAAACCAAATAACAAGTTTCATGGAAGATATGGATTAAAATATATCAAACTAAAAATCGGATCTGCATTCTGTAAGCGAGGGAAATATTCAGCATTTCATCCTCTTTATAATGAGCTATTATTTATAATTTATATTTCATATTATTAATCTCGCCTTGTTGATGTTTTCACTTTTATTGTGTGGTCCTTAGTTTTTCACCATGTCTATTCTTGTATCAAAAATATTGTCTTTTTAAAAGAAAATTTTATTAAATATTATATTTATTAAATTTAATTACCTGTATTCTTTGGGATTTAGACCAGCAATATGCGGAATATAATTGATCAAAATATTCTGAAGCATAAGTAATCGCCTGTATGTCTTTTCTGGAAGTGGAAGTAAGTAACCAATGGCTCCATCTAGAGTAGCTAAAAAGAAAAAAAAAAAAATTAAAACATTTCAGAATAATAAAATAATTCTTTCTTGATTTTTATTAATACAAATGTTTCATTTAATTTCTTCAACGAAAAGGTCTACAAAATTATCTGTGTGTCTGTCTACAAAAAGCTTAGCTCGAAAATGAAAAGTTGTACGAAACTGAAATTGTGTATTTATGATGTTTGTATATGGCTGGAATGTTACAGCAATTTTTTTGTTTTCACTTATGAAAGTTTACCTCTCATGTACGGAACTATGGATAGTAAACAATTACGAATTATAGCTTACCAAAAACTGTGACTTGTCGATTCTCCGAACCACTCACTTGCTTTTTCACAATATCTGTATCAGGTAACCTGCATTTAATTCTAAAAAATGCATTTACATGTTGACCTAAATGAAAATCTCCTTTTCTAATCAGTCTTTGACCTGCAATGAAAACAATATTTCACTTATAAAATAATTAAAAATGGTAGAGAAATAACTGACTGTAAACATTCAAAGCTTTGCTACCTTTAGTAGTGAGGGAGAAAAAAGAAATGTGTTAACTATTAATAAACAAATACTAAGAAGTGAACAAAAATTGTGCTGTGTAAGATAAATTAAAATATAAATGTATATATACATACATATTTATTTCACACGAAACAGCCCTGAAGGACTACGCGACTATGATACTGGTTTCTTTTTTAATTTCTTTCTTTCTGCCCATCTCTGTTTGAGGGTATCTTTTTCTTCCTCTCCTCCGTCCACTTCCTCCTCGACGGAAGTTCCTTACTGTCCACTACATGCACCACACTTTTCAGGAATTTCTTGTATTCTGTCCTATCCTCACATAATTCTTGTGTTATCCCTAGCTTCTGTATTTCCTGTTTTATTTGTACCGTATATCCATGGTTAAACTTGTATCCCATAACCCTACTAAAAATCTTCTTGTTTAACCTCTCCTCGGTCATCCTTTGCATGTGTCCATAAAACCTATGTCTTCTTACCCTCATTTCCGTTTCCAAATCAGAGGTTTCACTGTAAATTTCCTTATTGGATTTCAGTCTGTATTCTTCTGGTGTTATTTTGGGTCCATGGATCTTTGGATGTATCTTCTAAGAATTCTTCTTTCTATTTTCAGCAGTTTCTCCAAACTGGGAAAGAACATTGTCTCCGTTCCGTACAGTATCACTGACTTTACCACTGTATTGTAGTGCCTGATTTTGGACTTTTTGGAGAGGCATTTTTATTATAAATGCTACTCGTTAAGTAGCATAATTTTTCCAAATTTTGTATCTTATACTCCATACTTTCTTTCTCCGATAAATTTCTGCTGATTTTTTCGCCAGGTATTTAAAGCTTTTAACCACCTTGATTATACCGAATTCTGTTTTTATTTCTATCTTCCTATAGTTGGGGTTTGTGGTCATAAATTTAGTCTTCTGGAAGGAGATTTTAAGTCTAGTTTTCTCGGCTATTTTTTTTTTAGCAAATTTATCTGTCTAATCGCCTCTTCCTCCGACTCTGCCAATAGGGCCAAGTCATCCGCAAAGGCTAGACATTTTACCAGGATATTGCTCCTTTGATTTCCTACTTTAGCTCCTGATGTTTCTTTTTCCCATAAGAATTCATAACTTTGTCGAGAACAACATTGAAGAGAATAGATGACAGTCCATCCCCTTGCCTCACACCGGTTTTTATCGGAAATGGTTTGCTTATATTCCCTCTTAATTTTATTTTTGACTTGGTTTATGTTAGAGTTTCTTTTATTAGGTTTATAGTCTTTTGATCGACACCGTATTCTCTCAGGATTTTCAGTAAGGTTATATATATACATATATTACATATACATATACATATATACATATACATATATTATATATGTAAAAATAATAGACAAGTATATGTAAGTAGTGAAAAATAAGATTATACAAGAAGTTATATTATAGTAGTAACAAAGTAATAAGTAATGAAATTAAACTTAGGCCGAAACTTTGGCATAAAATATAATAAATTTGTTTTACTTTTCCATATCACTGCAACCCTCCACTAATTTACCAACTGAAGTAATTCAACAATGATAAATCTATTATCCCCACATATATTATCACAGTAAGGCTCGAAATCGGTTTTGTACCAAATATAAACTCATGTCATGCTCAAATACCATGAATGGGGTACTATTGGATTCAAAATTTCTTGAGGGGTTAGGAAATCATAGTTTCCACTTTTGTTTTTCTTTCAAAGTTGACATAAACATTTTGATACGCTTCAATGCTGTTACTATGGTAAGTCGATGGATTGAGATGGAAAAAATTGAGATATGAAGATTTAGATGCACAACCAATACCTTATATATATAGATACCTATATAGATATACCAGTATACCAATATACCAATACCAATATAGATACCTTGGATCTACCACCCTGCGTTTTCAAGCCTAAAAATGTACTATTTTCGATATAATGCAAGGCAAAAGATTCGCATCCACACAACCTCACATTAATTGTAGTGATGCCATTGGATACACTCTCATGTTGTAGACTTGAGGTCTCTATAATCGAGAAAGGAGAAGTTTTTTTTTTAAATGAAAATGAAATGAAATGAAAAAATAATTTTATTCTGGGGCTACTGTCCCCTAAGAATAATAACAGAGTTACAAATTTATGGATCTTAGTCTGACATAATAAAAATACAAACTAATTTACTGTTAGTTGTTATTTCGATTGTGCAATGGATTGAAATTAAGCATTGTACAGATGCAAGTAATTTTACATGTTAGGGGAAGTTTGAATGTGGAGTAGGTGTTGGAACAGGAGTTGTTTGAAGGAATTTGTGGACGAGAATTGATTTATTTTATATAATAAAGTTTATATTATTTATTTAAGGTGTTTTTTGCCATTAAGCTATATCTTTGATAATTATTCATCGAAATCCCAAGATTAAGCCATAATATTTAGGTGGGAAAAATGTCAATTCCCCCAAAATTTCAGATGAAAAGTTGTGAAGAAAAATAAACTTTATTGGTGAACAACTCAAAAAGTATATATTTTATGTTTTACTATTTATTATCTAGCATCCATGATTTAAAAGATCATTATATTTCCTACAAAACAAAGAAAAAATAAAAATCATCAAAATATTATTAGCAAAGATACAGCTTATTGAAATTTGTTAATGTTTTGATTCAAAACATAAATGAAGTTTTAAATTAATTTTGATTTTCCCATATTACGATATATTGTGTAAATAAATAATCTTGTTCGAGCGATAATTGTAAATAGCCTGTTTGAGCGGCAATTGAAAATGGCCTGTTTGAGCTGCTATTGCAAATAGCCTTCCGTTTTGTCGAGGGTCTTGGTTATTTACACTCGTGGTTATTTGTAGTGAATTATTAAAACAAAACCCGGCACTGGACATAGACTTTTTGAGGGTGTTTAACTGTTGTTGAGAATTCGGGAATCTAATGCTTTTGTGACACTGAGCGACAAGAAATAATAAGAATATACATATAATGTAGGACTGAGTAAATACACTTTAAATGTATTGACTCACCTGGTTTGTTATTCTCCAATTGCGAGGCATATAGGACAACTAAATAAAAGGACTATTCACTCCTGTATAACAAAATAATTTATTTCCACGACTGCAATAAATGAATTGATCTTTTTAATCTTCTGTGCAGTGGGCTTCTCTTCTCAGGTAACCTTCCTTTTTCCTGTCCAGACCTCAAGTGAGTTCTTTCTTCTCCCACGTCCTTCAGCTGCTGCCACCTACCGGCACTTTTTCAAGATTCTTCCTTTCTTTGTCTGTACCTTTTTCGTCGATTGTTTATCGATTTGATACTTTTCAATAAACAGCTTGTATACTGCATAATTGAGTACAATTCATAGTGCAACCCTACCTTCCTTCTCATTCCCTCACTCAATGTTACATTAAGATGTAAATACTAGAGGCCATCTACTACAGTTGCATTATCTTACTTTCATATCGCTTTGTCATTTGACCACTGACTAATTAATATACTGTGCAAATTATTCACATGGGCAAACTAGTTTAAAGATACAACAATAGTCCAAATACTAAATATATTTCTAAAAGATAAGGTATTTAATTAAATAATTATAAAATATACTATACCTCCAAAACTTTCTCTGGCCTCAGGCTGGTACATGTAAAGGACGACATTTTTTTCCCTGTCCGAGACCAAAAATCCAAGATTTGTATTGTCTATGAGAAAATCGATAGCATAAGCTTCAACAGCCCGGAAATCCTAAAGAACAAAGATGTGTTATTTAATAATTAAGCTAAATATTTTATAATCAAATTAACTAATGAAATAACAGCACACAAAACAAAAATCAATATAAAAGAAAGAATATTGAATATTTAATAGTTGACCGTTGCTGCATTATAAAGGAAGGAGATGGTCCAGGGTTGCGGTCATAAATAGGCTAAATTTTACTTATTGACCATGTCTCAATATTATCTAATATTCAAATGTAATTTTGCTACATATGTATAACTAAATATAATTATAATTATTAATTTTTTCCCTCTCTATACTTCTAAGTTAGTTCTGCAATATATGTATGTAAATGAAGTTATTTCTATATTTATTTTTTACTTTTGCCAATTTTGGGTTTATTCACATTGTACTCTTATCTATAATCTCTCAATTCTATTTTATTTGTATAGATATAGTATTTAGTTAATATTTCATAGATATAGTATTTTTCCATTGTATCCATCCACATCTTCATATTTTAGATACTGTAATTTCCTAGGTTTTTCCCCATTACCCAAACAAGTCAGCTTCCCCTATACCTGTCCTTACCCTTGGTTTTCCAGTTCTAAGGGAAACTCCTAGCTGAACACACCTGTAAGTCTCTAATTTTATTCTTCCATTTTATTTACTTATTTATTTAATTTTTGGTTTTCTTTCTCCACAGTTCTTTATGTCTATTATTTCATATTATATCCTTTTTCCTTTTCTTTCAATCACTCCTGTAGATCTGTCACATTTGCATTTATTACAGTTATACAGCTATTTATTCAGTTTAGGATCTTGTTACTTAGCTTACTTTGCTCATATTTAAATGTACTTACTGTTTATAATTTTAATAAGCTTATGCACAATGTTTATAAATTCTGTCTAAATATTATATGACTGCCACGATTCTCTATCTTTTTGTATCTTGTCCGTTCTAGCTCTGAAGAAGACCTGCAAAGTCGGATCGAAACATCGGCTTTCAATAAAATAGTTTTACCACTATTTAGCCTATTTATGACCGCAAAAGAAAGAATGTTAATTTGGGTTTAGATAGAGAGATAGATAGATAAAAAATAACTTAATTCAGGGACAAAGTCCCTGAAGAATAACAGAATCATTTAAAAAGAAAAGATTACTTCTGGCCTAAAGGTTTGATACAATAAATAAAATCTCTTTATTGTATAAAAATCTGGTGCATTGCCCGCATCACACAACTTTCACTTATCACCCTCTTAGCAGAAATAAGTATTTTCAGACAAAGGGGAAGTGAAAGTAAAAATTATAGACCCTATATTTATTAATATTTCATTGTGGGTATTTTTATTTGAATAAGCACTCTTATACATACAAATTTTAATATTTATATCGCTGTAATCAACACAATTAAATATTAAATAATACCAATTGCACAATAACAATCGCATTTATGAAAATTGCTTATGTATATTTATATAATATTGTCAGAGTTCGTATTATATTAAGCTCATATTCCTTTGATTCTTACAATAATTATCGTTTGTGATCTCTTATTTCTGCTTGAGTTAATTATCAAATTTTTTCATATTTTATATTCAGCTATCTTTTATATTACCGATTAATGTGAAATGGTCAATTGTTACAAATAAAAAAAAATTAAAGATACTTTAGAGGAAGATAATATTGAAAATTAGCCATTTAAGTCCTGTTAGAGAACATCAATCAGAATAAAAACTAAATTTTATTTTAAACTGCTTAATTTTACACTGATATAATGAATTTAATCAAAATCATTAGAGCTGTTTTCGAGAAAATCTTAAAAATGTGTTTAGGCCAAGATATAGTGCCACTTCCGGTTACCCGATTTTGACAAAAAAGTTGCTGTAACATCCATAGTATATAAAAACCTAAAATAAGCAATTTCACTTTCGTATGACTTTTTGTATTTGAGCTAGACACACAGACCATTTTGCGGGACTTGGTTATTTGGGCCTACAATTAATACGCCTATTTGGAAGTCAGGAAGACCAATAATTTTATTTTTTTTTTACTTCCTGACATAGCAATCTAGAGGGAAGAACAAAGAAGAAGAAACTATAAATACAAATTTATCAGATTAAGAACTACAAATTGAAAGTGAAATATTACAATGAAAGATATCATCATGTTTTAATTTAGTTTAGTGAAAAAATAAAATGTTTCAACTTAGTGTCGCATGAGTTTGAATTTTTTTAAAGTTAAAAAAATAAAATAATAAATAATTACGAACCCTGCTAACTAAGGAGAGAGTTCTGTACTCCTCCTGAAAACGCAGAAGAGTAATGGATTTATAGACATCAGCGACGAGTATCAAAGATTTTACACTCAATAGCTGATGAATATAGATCTGGGTATCTATAAAAGCCACGCCGACTAGGTCATTATCCTTTAACTGCCAGATATAAATCTGCAACAACCAAAATAAAATAATATTAATAAATAAATAGGAAATTAAAATAATAAATTTCTTAAAAAAAAAAAAAAAAACCTGTACCACTACAACCCATGAATGGTCTTGGGTTCAGCACATTGTAAGGAAGTACAGATACAAGAGCAACAGTTGTGCAGGGAGGAGATCGGGCCAGGATCACACTCAATCACCAAGTTTTCCCTCTGTATTAATTATTAAATTAAGAGAACCCACTTTATAGAGGCTGGATGTATTCCAGGAGAGTCTCCTGACAATCAACTGTTGAAGAAAAACTACCTGTCATCAGCCAGATTTTTTACCGAGAACTTCAGCTTGGAAGTCAGTGCCTTACCAATGAGCTACTCTGTTCCCATTTTTTTTTTAAATAATCAATTAATTAATACAGAACGGTCTCGATAATCTGAAACTCTCGGTAATCCGAACAAGAAAAAAAAAAAGTTTAAGTTGATTGACGAAAGACAGAATAGAAATGGCTCTGTTTCTCTGCCAAAAATGAACAAAGAATGACAGATGGTGGGGGAAGAAGAACCAGATGAAAGGCAGAAGGTAACCAGCCGGCTAGTAAAGAGGATCGAGAAAAGAAAATGTGAGTTAATAAGTAGTGAGTGTCAACAAAGGAAGATTATAAGATTGAAAGAAGTTGAACACAACAATACAGAGAAAGATTTACTGCAGAACAGGGTGAGTGAAATATAAATAGACAGTTCAAAAGCGCGCCAAGATTAGACCCCGACAAATGAATGGAAATTCATAAAAATGTTCTGTACAATTAATGTATGCTTTTATATTGTATAATTGAGGATATGTGTTAGTTGTCTCAACCCAACCTGAGAATTAATTATTGATTAAAATAAATATTTTTTGATTCAGAAATTGTTTTGTTTACTTTTCAAAGGGAACGTAATCTTACAATATATAGAAAAAAGGTTATCTTGACAATCCATAATTCGCTTTATTTTAAAATCAGTATTTAATTTTAGTATAGTGCAAATAATAATAGTTTGTCTGAGTGCTTCGATCTAGTTGTAACCCATACCTGAGACTAAATAATTATAAATTTCAATATAATTAATATATTAATGCTCTTATAATTTTAATGAGAAGGAGTTAGTCGAGGGTCAATTATTTGACCGCACCCTCGACTAACTCCTTCTCATATTATATCAACGGTCAACCATCTCTACAACTCTTATAATTTTGTTTATTATTTATTTTTACTTTATACCCAAAAGTATAAAGTTATCTGCCGAGGTTATATTATTATTTGTAAAATATAAGAGAGATATTACAACATATCACTGGAATTGCTTCGAGTGGTAGTGTCGAATAGTGTATTGCGAGATCTCTAAACAGAAAACATTAAAACTAGGCGGTCATCCAGAAGTTGAGGAATCTCTTTATAATTAGTTTTTGCAGCAAAGATCACAAGGTTGTCCTATTTACGAAAATGAACACTTATGTTTTGTAAGGATTGCTACAGTCTGCACAATGAAACTGCTTATCATAGGTTTTCTGTAAATCAATGAAAATCATGCGTACCTCGCTAATACCGGCATTTTTATTTTCAATTAATTGTCTGAGCTTAATATATGAGATGTCGAAAGCCAGCCTGTTCTTAAGGTATTTTAGCGGAGCAATTTTTTACACTTATCTAATTAAGTGGGGTGTGAGATTACTCAGTGGTAAGGCACTAATCTTCAAATGCTCAAGGCCCCTGGTTCGAATCCTGGCTCAGAAAAATTATTTCTTCTGTTTCATCAGCCGCGGGGAGATCCTGCAGACAGGAGACCCTCCTGAGGCACATCCAGCCTCTATAAAGTGGGTACCCTTAATTAAATAATCAATTAAGGGGGAAAACCTGGCAGTTGAGCGTGATCTCGGTCAAATCACCTCCTTGCACAACCCTTGACTGAGAAACAGTACTTTTCCTAAATAATACTGAACCCAAGATCCTTCATGGCTTGTAGTGGTTAGTACAAATATAAATTAAAATTAATAAATAAATTAACATCATAATTTTTTTTAAACTATTATTTATAATATATAAAAAAATAATATTCGTACCTTTTGACCCACAGCAGAGACTAAAAATCCAACAACATGAGTCATAGCTGTTATTGGACCCTTTTGATCTTTATTGTAGACCATTTTGATTCTGTTCTTTGTGAGAGGCTGACCAGGTTCGGGCACAACGTCAATAATATCAAACAACCATATCTATAAAACACATTACATCTCTTATAGAATGTGATAATGAAAGACAATTTAATGATAAAAATATAATCTAAACATAAACAAATAATAAATGTGTAAAATATATTTTTATCAATCTGCTAAATGATATGTAACAAATTTTTTAGGGAACAGCTAGACCGATTTTTAAGTTTGATGGTCTAAATTATCCAGTTAAGATGCCGTGAGTGTTTAGAAACAATTCATACTCAAAACACTGACAAATTATCGTATAAAATGTACTTATTCTGTTCTATATTATTTCATTTTATTATATTTTAAGTATTCTCAAATTTTTGTCAGTTTCATATCATATTATAAGTCTAAAATAGATTAAAAAAATTTGAGTAGCTGGAGGCCTAGTAGTAAGTATGTAACTATTTTATTGATACCTAAAGGGTACTTTTATTTAAATTTTCATTTATATTTAAAGATAATAATATATATATCAACATATTTTTAAATTTTATGATTCAATCACACCTCGATTTTCACGTGATATTCTTATCAAATTTTCTACGACAATCTAGTCGGACTGTGAAAAACCTTGTATTTTTATTAGAGGTTGTACACACCAAGAAATCAAAGATATTTTTCACTTTTAGCTGAAAAAGTTTTAGAAATGTGACATGTTATAAAGGCTGTATCCTCGCTCTCCTGTGTTTAAGCTAAACTAATAAGTTATATATTCAATTGTATTTTTTTTAAAGATATTTTCAAGTATACATAATAGGCAAAAAATATTACATAGTAAGGCAAAAAATAAATGTAAATAAAAATCCTAACAACTATAGAAAGATATAAACAAATTAATTTTAAATATTCAATATTATATTTGTTCGAGAATTGTGCTACTACTCCAACTGTTTTGTGTGAAAAGCTGTTACGCCTGATTGTCGCGTTACGGCGAGTGGTGGGGGCAGATCAGATAAGATAAAATTGAATCTGCGCCAGCTTCCAGATGAACTCGCCCCATTCCTAGGCACAGATTCCCAGAATCAACAACTGGAGGGCTCTCTCAGTTAAGTAAGATGTCTATGCAAGTATAAAAGGGTGAGCCTATTTTACACAATTCATAAAACCTACCACACCATCAAAATACAGTTCACTGCCAAAATAAATCAAATGTTGCCTATGTTGAACTCATTAGAGTTATTTGTCTTAACTAAATTAAATTTGGAAAGTTGCCTAAACACCTACCTTTTTTTTTTTTTTGTCCATCAACTCCCAATCAAAAGCGCTTACACACACTTACACTTTGCAAAATAAGTGTTACTCAGCAACCAGATACAAGTTCAAATCCCGGAGCAGGAAGGCTTTTAACTCAGGCATTAATCCCCCACCTCTCCTCTAGCTCCAGAAAAGTCCTGTATAGTCAAAACAAGAGGAAGGGAAGAGAGAAAAAAAAAGTGGAGATCTGCTAGTACAATCCCTTAGAATGGATAAAATATCCTAATTTCTGTAGTCAGAATTTTCGGTTTATCGAATTTTTTTGGTATAGTAATTACTAAGAATTTGGGACATTGTGGAATACTTTCCACAGATCATGACTGGTGCTTTTCTGGCTCTGCCAGCAGACTTGGATTAGAAATTAACGAATCCAAAACAAAGTAGATAGTAACAGAAGAAATTTCTGAAACAAGTGAGACAGTTATTATTGGGATTCATAAATTCGATAGGATTTGGAGTTGATTTATCTGAAATCTGTGGTCGTCCAGGATAATATCTCTGATATTGAGATAAGAAGAAGGATCACAGCAGCCAACAAATGCTACTTTGGGATGAACAAACAGCTAAGCAGGCATATATTTCTTTCTGGATCGGAGCGCTACGATAACTTCAAAGGAACTCCTTAATTTTTAAAGAAAAGTTCTCTATCGTGTTTTAGGGGTGTAAAGGTTGGAGAAGAATGGAAGCGATGCACAAACCAGGAGCTGGGCAACGCTTTTCGGAAAGCTGATGTGAAAGCAATGAAGTTATAGCAGATGGAGAAATGTCAAAAATATTGCTGACACAGCCAATCCATGGAACAAGGAGAAGAGAGAGAGCAAAACTGATGTGATCAGATGGTAGGGCAAGAGATGCTCGCAACATCCTGGATGGTGTCGTCACAAGACTCTGACAACTGGAGGAGACAAAGACCTGTAACTGGTTTGCAGTACCATGAAATGAAACAATGTTACTGATAATTAGTACTATTAGGCCCATGCGAAAAATTCACACTTCATATTGTTAAGTGATCCAATGCCAAATTAATAAGAAAATAAAATAATGCAACGTATCATAAGATAAAGAAATCAATTGTTACTTAATCGATAAATATAATCGACAAAGGAAACAAAAATAAATTTAAAACTTCTTTAATGTTTGGAACCAACATGTTTCGAAATTTCAATAAGCTGTATTTTTGCTAAAAATTGTCCAATTTCGATGATTTTTTTTTTTTCCTTTTTGAGGGAATTTAGTAATCTTTTATATAATCATGGGCATAACCAAGGGAAAAGTGTGTAATTTTTTAGTTATTCGCAAATAATGTTTCTTTTCTTTCATAACTTTTTTGCCTGAATTTTCGGGTTGATAGGACTATTTTTCCAGCCAGAAGGAGAAGGAAGCCTTAAAAATTGGAGGCTCAATCTTCAGATTTGGTGAAGAATCAATGATGTGTGGCTGGCAGACAAAAAATGCCTTCAATAAATAATATAAACTCCTCCTCTCTCAATCATAGGGACCTCAAGTCGACGAAATGAGACATATATTCAATGACAGTACAACAATGAACGTAAGGTTGTGTGGATACGAACCCTTTGCCTTGTATATCTCGAAAATAGTACGTTTTTGGCCTTAAAAATGCATTCCTTCAGAACTATCCGGGTCTTGCAGTACGCATCAAAATCTTCAAAGCCCGATTTGTCACGTATCGATCAACAGACTTACCACCGTTCCAGTATTGAAGCCTAGCAAAATGTTTGTATAGACTTTATTTATTTTAGAAAGAAAAACAAAAGCGGAGAATACAATTTGCTAACCCCCTTTGAAATTTTGAATCCAACGCAACCCCATTCATGGTATTTGAGAATGACAGGAGCTTATATTTGGTACAAAACTGATTTTAAGCCTTACTGTAATAACATAAGTGGGGATTATTATATAATAATAACAATGCTTTATTTATTCTGGAACAAGTCCCTTTAGAATAACATACAGAGATAGAAATGTGGACTTTATTTAGAGCCTCAGAGAACAAAAAAAAAAAAAAAAATGATAAACATAACAAATTAAAAAAATATAGGTTATCTTCTAACTTTAATCAATTAAGAAAAATAAATTAAAGCAAACTGAAATAAAAATAATTAAAACAAACTAATAATTTATATAGCTATTTACAGCTTATCCATTAACAACTTTACAATTTTATGGGGACTGAATGGATAAGAAGTTATTGAACAGGCAGGATTTAAAGGTGAGGAGGGTATTGGAACAACAGATGAAGGAAGGAATAGAATTCCATAGAGATGAGGATCAGATAATGAAAGATTTGTCGAAAGCAGAGGTCTGGTGGGCCCTTGTATATAAGTCTGAAGACCGGGAACGGGTTTTGCAGGAGTGAACACAGGATTTGAATTGAAGGAGCTCGGAGATATATGAAGGAGACAGCGGGATTCGATGATTTTGAAGAGGAAGGATGCAATAAAATACGATGGTAGGAAGGATAAAGCCACTTCAAATCTACAAAAAATGGGAGATGGAGGCGTTCCTTGGGATCCCGAAAATGAACCGTACAAAGCAATTTATTAAACGTTTTAGTTTCGCCTCGAAATTCCCATATACGTACAGTTATAGTCAAAGTGGAGAAATATCAAGGAAATAATTTAAACATTCTATGCAGAAAAACGTATAATGTATATTTAATATAGCAATTAAATATAACTTATATTTAATAAATTATAATGAGACAAATAAATAATAATAATAATAATTACCCTTCCACGGCTGGTGATGTCCTCACTGTAGTTATAATTAGTACCGAGGGAGATATAACCTTTCAGACCACTTCTTGTTCCTTCATAAGCTAGGCTAACATTTTTCAAACACGTCACATGTTCCCAATCATCCAAGTCCTTTTTAGTATTTGGAATTATCTACATAAAGATAAATACAGACTGATAATTTATAATCCAACAGCTATATCCTAATGATGTTTTGATAATATTAAATTCTATTCATGGAGGATAACAAAATAATATACAAAAAAAAGATTAAAACTCAATACGTACATTTTGTAAAATGAATACATTTTTAGAAAACATTGAATTTGAATACAGTTAAAATCAACTTTATTAAGATAACTCAAGTTTCTTATTAAATTTAGAAGGAACTTCTACGCTCATTCTTCTTATAGACACTGCAATGGAAGGCTTTGTTGCCAAGAAATATTGAGGCAAGTTCCTAAACTTAGTACTGAGCTCATCGGTGGTAATGGATTCATTCTAAACTGGGCGAAATGATGCCTTCAATTACAATAGAAATGGAACACTGCATCTTAAAGCTTTTTTAAAAAATAAAATTACTGAGATTGCACAGTAATATACCAGCTAACTTAATAAGACGTAACTGTCTTAGTTAATGGAAAATAGTTAACAAAAAATGACAACTTTTTCGATATTCATCAAATTTACTACAAACTCTTAACCTTACAAAATGATGGCCGATAGACACTCTTTGGTACGATATGACATCTTAAAATAGTAATAAATTTATAATATGTTATATATTTGTTATTATTATATCCCAAAAATTGTAGTGTTTAAGATTAAACAAGAGGTCATAATATAAATTATATATAAGATGTCATAATATGAACTAAAAACATTTATGGCTCTTCTAGGATAATAAAAAACAAAAAATAATAATATTAACTTACATCCCAAGAAACAGGAGAAAACAGGGAAACGCTAAACTTTTCAGCAAGTGGATAAGGAAAACGATCATCTTTTTCTTCAACAGAAAGTTCCTAAAAAAAATTATTATCTTAATTAAAAAATATTTGTTATTAAAATTAAGATTTATTGAAAATTTATTTATTTATATTCTATGGAATTTGAACCTGCACAACTGTGCATCTAGCAAATTTGTTGTATTTATACTGTCTTGGTATATTTGCTTTATTTTGTTTTTATTGATATAATAGATCTCTTGGCTATTTTCTTCTTAATATGCTTTATTCAGGTAACAGGGAGCAGGAGAAAGAAAGAATCAGAAGATTGGAGTGATTTTGGGTTGAAGAATGTATTTAGTGTATTTGTCGTGGATGTAGGATTTTACTGTTGGGATGTTTAAGCCATTATGTATTGTATTGTTTGAAATGTACCAGGATGCGTTAACAATTTTTCGTAACATTTTCGATTGTGCTGTTTTTATTTTGTTTTTGTGTGTTTGTTTTGTAGAACCCCAAAGTTCTGCTCCATATGTCCATATTGGTCTCAGTAAGGTGCTGTAGATTAGTCGCTTGTTTCGTAAGATAAATGAAGATCTGTAGTCCAGAAGATGTGAAAGTTGGCTATATCGTCTAGTAAGTTGTTGTTTTTTTAATTTTGTATTTATGTTCTAAGTAAGTCTTTTGTCTAAGTAGAATCCAAGGTACCGTACATAGTTTTTTGAAGGCACTGGGTTATTGGCAATTAAAAAAAAAACAGCATATGATGAGTGAATTCACAAGAATAATTCATTTGTCACTATAAATCAATGTTCTACAAAATAACAGATCGTCTAAGAATTGTAATTATGAATGAATATAAATGTTAAATATTGAATACAATCTCTCGGAAGAGTTCAATATAGACAGAGGAGTGATGGTGGTTGCATGTAGAGTCCGGCTGATGACTAGTAATTTTTCATTAGTCGTGGATTGAACCTGCGAGCCTCCTGAGGCACATCCAACCTCTATAAAGTGGGTACTCTTAATTAAATAATTAATTAAGAGGAACACTTGGCGGTTGAGTGTGATATTGAACCCAACATCTCCATGCACAACAATTAGTCTTGTAACAGTACTTCCTCATATAGTATCAAATCCAATACCCTTCATGGGTTATTAGTGGTACAGGTTAAACGACCGTATATTTGTTTTATTAGGACAGTTTCTTGTTATTCCACATTCAAAAGAGTTGAACAAATGCCCTATTTGTTCTTTTTCAGCCCAACGAGCCCCTTCTTTTGTGATCATGCTTCTTAAGTAAATGAATGATTCCATGTCCTCTACAATGCTGTCCCTCAGAACAAGTGGATTCAGTCATCCCTCATTTACTCGCATTTCCTTTGTTTTATCGACATTGATTTGCAGTCCAACTCGGTTGGTGATTCAGCTTACAACAACTTTTCCTGTAGATCACTGAACTGCTGTGCAAGAAGACATAGTGTAGTAGACATCCCCCAGTGTTTACTCCTTCATATGACATTGTGTGAGGGAATGAGAAGGAATATATAATATATAGGAATGTGAGGTTGCACTGTGAATTGTACTCAATTGTGCAGTGGACAAATTGTTCATTGAAAAGTCTCATATCGATAAACAATCGATAAAGAAGGAAGAAAGGCCCCAGCAGGTAGCAAAAGCTGGAGAGAAGGGAAGGCATTCTAGGCTGGGACAGGTAGAAAGGAGGTTGTCAGAAGAGAGGAGAACTTACTTGAAGCGGAACGACATACCTGGGAAGAGAGTCTACTACAAGATTTAGAAGATCAAGTCTCTACACAATTATTACAGTTATAGAAATAAATTATTTTGTTATACAGGAGTGAGAAGTCATTTATTTATTTAGTTGTCCTATATGCCTCACGATTAAAGAATAACAAACCAGGTGAGTCAATTCATTCAAAGTGTATTTACTAAGTCCCACATTTCAAATATATATTCTTATTGTTTCTTCTTACTCAGTGTCACAAAAGATATTAGATTCCCGAATTCCCAACAACAGTTAAACACCCTCAAAAAGTCTATATCCAATGCCGGGGTTTTGTTTTAATAATCACGAGTGTAAATAACCTAGTTCCCCGATAAAGGAATATTTACAATTCCCGCCAAAAACAAATCATTTTACATTTAAACTTCAGTAGGTTATTTACAATGTGCTCTACGATGCTGTCCCTCAGAACAAGTGGATTCGGTCATCACTCATTTACTCGCATTTCCTTTGTTTTATCGACATTGTTTTGCAGTCCGACTCGGTTGACAATTCAGCTTAATGTATTTAACTTCTCCTATAGATCACTGAACTTCTGTGCAAGAAGACATAGATCATCGGCATAATATTCTAACTTATCCAATTTTAATTTTTTTTTTCTCATTTTTGAATGAACTTTCTATACAAACCTCATAAATAGAGTAAGTTAAAATCGAATAAATAAAAATTAAAATAATTATGACACAAATCTCTAATTATGATTAAAATAGACAATTTCTAAACATAAGTATATAGTCTGGTTGAATAAAAAAAAAAAGTTGATATATAAAATCTTACTTTGTCCTCTCCATTGAATTTGTAGTATTCCCTTGTAGGTTCAGCTACGCTTGTCACAATGCAATACGTTTTACTTTCAATATGATACGTGACAAAGTGTACGGTACATCTCAACGGAACCTTCCTGACAGGCCAAAAAGCATCGTAATTCAAATGAGTCGGCAGTACACTGATTCTCAACTCAGCCTGCAAAAGTTAATATAATTTAAAAAATTACAAAATAATATATAACTATTATGAAAACTCATATTTATGAAAGTTGTACAAACCTTTTTGTTAAAATACAGGAATCCTTGCGGGCAGTTGACATTGTGGAATGCAGCAAAGCATCTCACAGGCCCATCGATGTGCATAGGGTGAAGTCGTAATTCACCCCTTGATGTCAAGAACATCCAATGAGGGTTTGTTCCACAGATGAAGACCTGAAAGAACATAATTTAAGAATCGTTGTAAGAGAATTACTGAGGGTAATATATTATTTCATTAATGACATTGCTGTTCAGAAAATTATGTAGATTTCCTTGAAGGAAGTTAGTTGACTGTTCTACATATCGTGGGTGATAAATATTCAGAACGCAGTCATTATAAACTTTTTATTAGTGCCGACGTTTCAACCCAAACATGTGGTTCATCATCAGACTGTGGTTTGAGCACTGAAGGTTTTCAAGTACTGACCGTCAGTACCATATTATATTAATCTCATGATAAGTATGGAAGCAAGTTCTAATCTTTCGGGCGAGCTTGGGTGCGCTCTATTACGATCTCTTATTTCTCGTTTAGTTAATTATAAAATTCTTTCATGTTTTATATTTAACCATTTTTCATATTAGAAATTAATGTGAAATAGTCGATTGTTTCAAATAAAAAAAAAATTAAAGGAACTTTATAGAGGAAGCCAATATTGAAAATTAGCCATTTAAGCCCTGTTAGAGAACATCAATCAGAATAATAACCACATTTTATTTAAAACTGCTTACTTTTATACTGATATGATGAATTTAATGAAAATCGTTGAAGCGGTTTTTGAGATAATAATTGTAGAAATGTCTAAAAACAATGTTATAAAGTGGCAGTTCCAGTTAGCCGATTTTGACAAAAAAGTTGCTGTAACATCCCTAGCATAAAAAATGTTAAATATGCAATTTCACTTCTGTATGACTTTTCGTTTTGCAGCTAGACTGTTAACACACACACAGATCATATATTACATATATATTACACACCCTTAGTATATATTACATATATGTAAGCTGAGATTTGATAAGTAAGGGAGAGGATTTGTGAAGACCCCAGAAGATGGAAGATGATCCTCCAGGAGGAAACAATGGAATCGGCGATGGGTGACAATCCCAAACGGGTCCACACTAAGAAAATTCTTTCCCACAGTTGAATCGCGCTTAGAAAAGAAATGGGTCCTCCCGGACTACTGGGTCTCACAGGTCATGGGGATTTCAGAACAAAACTTTTTAAACATGGTAAAAACATCAATCCTGCTGATTAGAACAGAAGAAGAAGATGGAGGAAGATAAAATAAGAAAAAAATATCAAGCAGGCTGTGTGCACAGCAATGTAAAAATGTAAAAAGATAAATTTGCAACAGTGATTTACTATGCAAAAAATATGTATCAAGTCACCGCTGCAAACTCCCATATTGTCTTAAAGGCAGGGTAAGGAGGAAAATAATATAATAATATAGGTAAGCTAAAGTAAAAATATAACAGTAAAAAAAATAGTTACCCCATTGTAACCAGATACATTGCTGAAATATCTGAGCTGGCCCACTCTTATATCATCAGGATCATCAATCTTATCTCTGAAATAAAAAATAAAAAATTAGTAGGCTCATACTAAGGCAAATAAATTAAAAAAAAAAAAAGTCATAATTATAAAATGTATAATTCATATTGTTAAACCCACATAATATATTAATTATAAAAGGAATAAGTAAATCTATTGATAAAAATAAATAAAAAATAGTTTAAGATAGAAGTAGTTACTAAAACTGTTTAGTAAAACAGCTTAAATGTGTAGTAGATATGTATGTACCTGTTGGAGAAAACTGTTTAAATTAAAGAAGTTAAAAAAATTAAAGAAAGCTGTTTCACCTACAGACCTGTAGTGAGAGATATCTTCTCTTGGATATGTTAACACGCGGATCTATGGAGGGAGGAAGGAGAGGGAGATTTTCGGGCTGAAGCCTCCCCCTCTCCCAAAAACGGTAAAATATAATCATGTTTTATAAAAAAAAATATTAAAAACTATCTCTTATCTTATTATTGTTTGTGTAATAACATTTAATAGGACTTAAAGAATCACTTAAATTCATATGTGCTTATTTAAGGTAAAAATTTTTGAATATTATAAAATAAGACTCTGTTTATTTTTTCACCATATTTATTTTAATTTTCATAGCTACGTTTCGGCCGGTAAGCCATCCTCAAGCATGGTTGAATAAAATGGCTTGAGGATGGCTTACCTGTAGCGTAGCTATGAAAATTAAAATAAATACAGTGAAAAAATAAACAGAGCCTTATTTTATAATATAAAAACACTTAAACTCCATTTCATATAGGTAGTTAATTTCTTTCTTTTTTTTTTTTTTCAAATTAATTGTTGTTGTATATATGAAAAAAAAATCTTTTGGGCTGAAGCCCCCCAAAATTAAATTCTGGATCCGCCAGTGTATATGTTTAATTTCAATTGCCAAAGTTAACTGTATCTGTTTAATGAAAGAAACTGTTTTAAATAAACAGATTGCTACTAACATCCCACCACTACACAAACAATATGGAGTAACAGTTGAAGAAATTAAGATCATTAATTAATCAAGCGAATGCCCGATATAATAAGTGGAAAGTAAATTACCTGTTTTCGACTTCTCTTGAAAGAAGTGTTCCTATTTTCGAAAACCTCATGTTTAAGCTGACATGCGGATAGGAATAAGCTTGATAAATCAAAACTTCGTTGTCGAGCCGAATAAGCAGAAGAGGTCTGTTACCATTATGACCTAAGCCGACTAATAATATTTCTTTTACATCTGCTTCAGGAGCAGGGTCTAAAAAAGCACAAAAAGAACTTGAATACTACATTGGAAATAAATGTCATATAATACAACTTAAAACATGGTAATTACTTAACCTAAATCGATAAAAACTAACATTAAGATCAAAACATGGATATAGGCATAAAAAAAAAAAATTGTACTTACTCGTATCATTATGAGCTTGGGCAAGGGTGGGCGGAGCACCTAGACTATCGGAAAGAATATGAGAACCCAGTCCGATATTTGCGGCTAAGTAGCAAAGCTTCAGATCAGGGAGAGAGTATATTTCTAAATGGCCATTATCACGAGTAAATAGAACCCAATAAGAAATACGACTATCCAATAAATGTTTCCTCCACCTTAAAAAAAAAAAGAAAATTAAATTAAAGAATATCATCCATTTTAAAAGCTTATAATATCAATATTAATGTACATTTACAATTAAAATCTATAAGAGATAATTAACAAAACACATTTGTAGGTAAGGATGGGCATTAGTTGATAATAATATTGATATTTTATAGTTAATACCTTCCAATTAAATACAAATTAATTTAACACTTTGTATACTGCTAGGAATATTTTCAATAACACAGTTTCATACTATTACCAAAATATTTATGTGCAAAATATAGCCATGTAAAAGTAAAATATTTGAAAATAGAAAACTGTTAAGAATTGTCACATTAGGAAAATATATGGGTAGAATTATGAAGAAGTGTTGTTAAAAATATCTCTATCAATATAAATATTTTTATATTTCATTTAAAAATATTTGTGTTGATGGTTGCATCTCCTTTTTATTATATTTTAATGTAGTATTATAAAATCAAATTTATAAAATTAAAATTTTGGAAATTGAAGATAATAGCTTCTTTTTTTTTTAAATAGTACACACAGTACAATACTACTTATTGACATCGTAGTCATAAGACATATGACATTCATGGAAATTAAGATATTTTATTTTTCTTTAAAAATTAAGGGTTGAAAAACAAAATGTATTATATAAAACTTTTAGTTCTTGATGAGACTCAATGTCACCAAAATTCAATAATAAGATATACTTGTCCTGTATATAATTTTTTATTCTCGCCTTGCCACCGGTAGCGAGGAGAGAATAAAAAATTATATACAGGAGGATAATATCTCTTTATTGAATTTAAAATTTAAGTCCTTTATAAAAATTAAACTTTTATTCATTTAAGTTCTTTAAAAAAGTTATGTTAAATGAGGAATAAGCAATAATTAAGCATAATTACTTATTATGATTAGGGTTATAATTTATCTAAAATGAATTACTTGGTTCTAATGCGTCATTTGTTTGATTAACTAAAATTGAAAGTAATTTTTTTAGAGTGACTTTTTGGCAAAATCGACCAAACTTTTAAATCAAAGTTTAAAAAAAAAAATAAAAGTTCTGATCAACCTTTACTTGAAGAGTTGGATGGAAAAAGTGCCAATACAACAGAAAAAAATGAAAATAAAGATTGTAATGATAACAGATTAAAATTTTGTTTTAAGCCCTAGAATAAATATATTTCCTAAATAAAATGAGTTAAATATCTATTTATTAATTTTTTTACACCAATTTAGTTATTTCTTTAAAGGGCCCACATCAACATAAATCTTCAAGAAGGTATCCAATATAAAAGTTATTTATTGTGATGAATTTTATACAGCATTTTAAAGTAAATAACTAAAGCATTCAGCTTTAACGCAATCTTCCCACTTTCCCTTCGGTCTACATTTACCATTCGGCACAGCAAATATTAGCCTTTTAGGAATTCTTTCATAACTAAGCCCAACAGTTTTACAAGCCCATTTGATTCACCATGATGTAATCACCTCAATTATATTAACCTGCAGCAACCATCTGAACTCTCTGGTTCACTAATCCTTCTTCGGTCTGAATATTCTACGCAATACTTTATTTTCAAAAACCTTAAGATGTTGCTCATACCTTAATGTAAACAGCCATTTTTGTTGACATTTTTGAATGTACAAAAAAAAAAATGATATCTTATATTATTAATCCCGCCTTGATGTTATCACTTCTATAGTGTGGTCTATAGCACACATCATAGTATTTTTTTATCTATATATCAAACTTCCAATAGTGGAAAACTATCAACTATCACCCATCTCTACTTGAAGACATAAAGATAGAAATATTAATGAAAAAGAAAAAAACATACCATTGAGGCTTTCTCGGGTAATGAACCATTGGTGTAGGAAGAGGATCAGCTTCTTTCTTTATATTTAAAACACTAGATTCGCCATATAATAATTCCTCTTCATCATCAATCGTTTCACTAAAAAAAAAAAAAAATAAATCAAAGAAATTATAAAGGAAGAGTTAATTTTCTTAATATAAAAACAAAATAATTTTGTACTTACGCTTTTACATTGTCAACAATAAAATTATTCGGAATGGTATAAACCTCTGATTCCAATTCATCAGTTGTCATAGTAAATATACCACTCAAATCTCTGTATACACATAAATTTGTTATCTGGGGTCTCTGAAAAGTTAATCATAGTTAAATATAAAAATATTTTAAAATAACAATTTAAAGTTACTGTTAAAATAAAGATACTAACTAAATTAATTTTTGGTTTTGATATAATCAATTTTCCGGTTCCTCTAGTCTCTTTGAAGGTGAGAACTATGATTTGTCCATCTCCGCTCATACAAACCACATAAGGGTCAGAGGATGAAGCGGAAACCAAAGGAGAACCTAGATCTATAGGAAGATGTTGAACCTGGTCACTACCTTGAAGAAGTCTAACACCCATAGTAGATACCTGAGGAAGAAAAATGTGTAAAAAAAAATAATCTAACTAAAATACTACGAACTACAAAATAATAATTACTAGTAGCCCCGTGCGAAAAATTCGCACAGCATATTGTTATCAAATGTCAAATTAATAGGAAAATAAAATAATGCAACGTTTCAAAAGATAAAGGAATCAATTGTTACTTTATCGATAAATATAATCGACAAAGGAAACAAAATATTTACAAATTTCAATAAGCTGTATCTTTGCGAAAAATTGTCCGATTTCAATGATTTTTTTCCTTTTATAGATAATTTAGTAATGTTTTATATAATCATGGGAATAACCAAGGGAAAAGTGTGTAATTTTTTAGTTATTCGCAAATAAAGTTTCTTTTCTTTCATAACTTGTTTGCCTGAAAATTTGGGGTGATTGGACTATTTTGCCCGCCTGAAGGAGAAGGAAGCCTTCGAAATCGGTGGCTCAATCTTGAGATTTGGTAAAGAATTAACGATGATATGACTTACCGATCAAAAACACCATCGATAAATAATATAAACTTCTTCTGTCTTGATCATAGAGACCTCAATTCGACGAAATGAGACATGCATCCAATGACAGTACTACAATTAACGTCAGGTTGTGTGGATGCAAACCCCATGCCTTGCGTTATCTCGAAAATAGTACATTTTTTGGGCTTAAAAACGCAGTCTTGCTGTATGCATCAAAATCTTCAAGGTCCAATTTGTCCCGCATCGATCTACAGACCTACCAACGATCCAGTATTGAAGCCTAGCAAAATGTTAGTATCGACTTTATTTATTTTAGAAATAAAAACAAAAGTGGAGAATACGATTCGCTAACCCCCCATGAAAGGAGAAAAAAAATAAAAATGCAGAAAAACATAGCTATAGACTGTAGCGCCTAAACGAATGTACCGAGATTTCATTGATACTTCGCTCAAGTCATTTTCTCGACACCCTTCACATTTATCTATATAACATACTTCAGCGAGAAGAAGCTGGAAAAAAAGTTACGAGGGATAGTAAAATTAAATTCCGAATAACTCAAAAAGTATACACTTTTTTGGGAATGTTGTATATGTTTTTCTAAAAGTTTATGGAATAGCCTAAAAAAAAAAAAAAAAATCGTTAAGATCGGACAATTAGGAAATAAGATATGGTCTCTATCTAGTTTTTTTTATAATAAGTTCTGCTGCAATGGTTATATCCTTTGTTTCGGTTTTTGAATTTCGAATGTGTTAATAAGGTAATGCTAATTTTTTAAGCATATTACTAATGATTATAAAGAAAAGTTTAGTCCATTAATTGGAATCACCTTTTATTTATTTTTCTTTGTAACTTGGGAGGTAATGTTACTTTACATTACTATTCGATTCGCTAACCCCCCATGAAATTCTGAATCAATATATGTGGGGATGGGGATAATATCTAAACAACTAATATGGTGAGATTGCAATAGGCATTCAATTGCCTGCTATATTGCCGTATTTTATGTTGAACTCAGACTAAACTTAAATATCTGATGAATTGCTCAATATGCTTTATCTTAAGGATCTCAAGAGGTATGCATATTACCCAGTATTACACCAAGCTGAAGTGGCTTTATACTACAAACTATAAAATAATAATTATAATATATAAACAACTAATATGGTAAGATTGCAATAGGCATTTGATTGCATGCTGTATTGCCTTAATTTATGTCGAACTCGAAGCTAAACTTTAATGTCGAATGAATTGCTCAATACGCTTTATCTTGAGGATCTCAAGAGGTATGCATATTCCCCAGTATTACACCGAGTTGAAGTGAATTTATCCGTTCTACCGCCATCAGTACTTCCTCGTTATCTTCCTATACTAATATATTAGAACTAAGCGACCCTCGTATATCCCATAGAGTGTACAATTTAAATCCTCCATTCAATCCTGTCCAGGCCAGATTCTATCTGTCCGATGGAGTAGACATCCCCCTCTATATTCTCCTTTATGTGAGAAGGAGTATATAATATATAGGAATGTGAGGTCGCACTGTGAATTTTACTCAATTGTGCAGTGGATTAATTGTTCTTTGAAAAGTCTCATATCGATAAACAATCGATGAAGAAGGACACTGGAAAAAGGATAGATAGAACAGGTAGCTAGCAACAGCTGCAGAAGGACGTCGAGAAGAGGAGAGAGGGCACTTGAGGCTGAGACATTGAGGGGGAACGACGTCATCTGCGAAGAGAGGCCTATTGCACTGAAGACTAAGAACATTAAACCTACAGTTATAAGACTTTAATATATTCATTTATTATCAGTTGTTAAAATAAATTGTTTTGTTATGCAGGAGTGAATAGTCCTTTTATTTAGTTGTCCTATAGGCCTCATAATTGAAGAATAATAAACAAGGTGAATCAATTCATTCAAAGTGTATTTACCAAGTCCCACATTATATATATATATATATATATATATATATATATATATATATATATATATATATATATATATATATATATATATATATAATGTATTTACTGTATGTATATATATATATATATATATATATATAAATATATATATATATATATATATATAATGTGGGACTTAGTAAATAAACTTTGAATGAATTGACTCCCCTTGTTTATTATTCTTCAATTGTGAGGCCTATAGTTGAAGAATAATAAACAAGGTGAGTCAATTCATTCAAAGTGTATTTACTGTATGTATGTATGTATGTATGTATGTATGTATGTATATATATATATATATATATATATATATATATATATATATATATATATATATATATAATGTGGGACTTAGTAAATAAACTTTGAATGAATTGACTCACCTTGTTTATTATTCTTCAATTGTGAGGCCTATAGGATAACTAAATAAAATAACTATTCACTCCTGTCTAACAAAACAATTATATACATATATATATATATATATATATATATATTTATATATATATATATATATATATATATATATATATATATATATATATATATATATTTATATATATATATATATATATATATTATATATATATATATATATATATATATATATATATATATATACACTGACAGGCAAAAAATTCTACCCACTTGTTACTCACTAAGGAACCACGTTGGAAAGGTTGGCTCTGGGAATTCTGGTCCTCTTACTGGACGAAAAACCATTAATCCATACTCATTTAATCTTCTCCAAGTGGTACGTTCAGAAATTTGCACACCTCGAACTTCTTTGAGCTGATGAATCGCTTGAACAACAGTAAGGTGTCGGTTTTGTAAAATTCTTAAAGTCACAACCGGTCATCCCGTGGTTCTGTTACCACACCCTAGGCCGTCCAGAACCAGGCCTTCTATTGAAAGAACCAGTTTTCTGAAAACGGCTGACGGCATCTCGTAAAGTTTCATATGGAACTCCGATGGTATTAGCTGCATATCTAATGGAACGTCGATCATCAATAAGTGCCACAACACGCACAACATTCTCAGCACTAAAAGGCATTTTTAAACTTAATATTGAAAAAATTAAAAGCCGGAGACTAAGAAATGTGCTGCAAGAAATGGCACTGAACTAAGGATATGAATAAACATTTTGATTCCATAGAAAGTAAACATTGGAATCTAGAATCATTTCATTGAATTAAGGATTATTGTCCTCTATATTAACATTCCTAATTGAAAACAAACAAAAAGATTACCTCTTTATTCATTAAAAACAATAGACCAATCCAAAGCAGAAATATTTTTAGATGAAAACATGAACAAATCAAGTGGGTAGAATTTTTTGCCTATCAGTATATATATATATATTCTTATTGTTTCTTCTCACTCAGTGTCACAAAAGGTATTAGATTCCCGATTTCCCAACAACAGTTAAACACCCTCCAAAAGTCTATATCCAGTGCCGGGGTTTTGTTGTAATTATCTCAAGTGCAAATAACCTAGTTCCCCAAATTAAAGTGGAAGGCTATTCGCCTATTCCCACCAAAACAAATTATTTACATTTAAACTTTATTAGGTTATTTACATCGACCTTTATTCTTCTCCTCACCCAACTCTGCAGCGTTTCACAAATCCTATATAATTCGAACCGCCTGGTTTGGAATTCTATCCCTTCCAACATTCGACACGCAAAGTCAGTTTCCTCTTTCTAATCGCTCCTCTTTAAGCACCTATTTGATTCCAAATCTGATTGATCATGAAATGTACATAAGAGTTTAAGTCGTAAGATCCTTAATTTTCATAAACCAATCAAAATTGAAAATTCATGCAAGTAATCAATTGATACTTAGAAAAAACGATAAAATAAAATGGTCATAAAAGTGATTCATAATATATTAATAAAACTCAGTAAAAGAAAAACACCAACTTACTTGAACTATAAACCTGTTATTTCCCAGATTTCCAGCAAATATTGTAGGACCATGAGTATTAAATCCTGAATGATCAAGCTCATTAATTTCCCTTCCGGTTTGCAAAATCTAAAAATAAATAGAAAGAAGTAATATATACATGTAAATATATGTACAATGATTACTATACAAGCAATTATATTAAACATAAAATATTTATTGGTCAGTCAAAGAAATATCTGGTGGAAACCGTTAGTCTATACTCATTGGGAATCCTTCATCATTACCTTTTTCTTTTTCAATTATATGAAAAAGAAAAAGAAATCTCAATATTTGGTCAGTATTACATTAGTCTCTGGTCCTGGTTGACTCTGTTTTTTATTTTTTAAATACTAAGACTGATTTGTATAGATAAATAGAAAATAAAATTTATTTTGGGACAAGGTCCTTTAAGAATAACAGTTATGAACAAAAAACAACAATTATATCTGGCAAAAAACTACATTAATCAAAATTAAACAATATATACAATATCTCCAGGGAAAATATATAAACAACAGAAAGTAAAACATTTTGAAAACAAAAACAAAAAAAAATTATTGAAATGAAAAGAAAAACAGAAACCAGGAAAAATTAAAACAAAATGTTATCAACACTATGAGTTGATTCTTAAAAGTACAAATTAAACAACCATTCACTTCAATCAAAATTCTATTCATAAAATTGATTATTTATATGATTGTACAGCGTACAGTGTCATTTTGGGATGTGAGAAGGAATTGGTAGAGATGGTATTTGAATGAGGACAAGGAAGAGGCATGGCCGATATCAAATGGTAAGTAATTCCAGAAGGCAGTGGACCGGGCAATAAAGGAATGTTCAAATTTTATAGTTCTATGGGAAGGGAAATAAAAGTCGGAAACACGGGATCTTGTTTTCTGGGAGTGGACTGCAGGTTTGAACTGCAGGAAACTGTAGATTGTACACTATGTAAGAACAGACAGATCTAAGGACTTTCGGAAAAGTATTACTGTTACGGGTTACACTTAATTGGACCTCAAGAATCAATTAAACACCATTTTATATAGGTAGTTAGTTTCTTTATTTTTCTTCGAAAGTAATTATCATAATATATATATATATATATATGTATATATATATATATATTTAAATTTCTTTAATCGATCTTTAAATACTATATTTTAAAATAATTATTTAATTGGGAATAAGGTCACTTAATAATTATTCAATAAACTATTAAATGTTCATTGCTTTTGAGTTTATTCTACGTTTCGATCCCCGTTTTTTATAATTTTTTTTTTATTTATAACTTTTTATAAGTTAACAATGGAATCCTCTTCAAAGTTTTAAAATAAAACCCAGATACCTCAGGCCAGGGACACACGGACAGTCACAGCACGGCCCACCAGCACACATATTAAGCTACTACGGTAGTGAAGAGTAGCTTTATGACATATGGGTCAGAAACTTGGACCATAAAAAGTAACCTGAGAAAGAAACTTCTAGCCACCGAAATGGACTACTGGAGACAAGCAGCGGGAATATCCAGAATGGATAAAGTGAGAAATACAACCATTCAAGAAAAGATGGAGGCTAAAAGAACCATTCTGGAAGAGATTGAGAAAAAACGCCTGAAGTGGTATGAAATTTGAAAAGAATGCCTGAAAGAAGACTACCCAAAGAAATCCGCTTATGGAAAACTAGGGAAAAAAGAAGAGGAGGAAGACCAAGGAAGATTTGGGATAACAAAGTGGAGGAATCCATAATGGGTCATGGTCTACGGGAAGAATAGACCTTAGATAGGACATTATGGAAAGAATCCATCTAAGCACTTTAGGTTAAGGAAATCCACTATTAGTGGAAACTTCTAATAAAAAAAAAAAGTTGAGATGGGTAACAAAGAAAAGGATTTAATTCTCAAATAGCAAAATATTTAAATAATTTTCATATACTGTTTTTTCATTTTCTTGTTTAGTTGTTAACCTGTTTTTCTTACAATATAGTTGTAATCGTTTTTTTAAATTAGCTCTGAGGAACGCATAAAACTTCAAAGACAATAAAATAAAGTTTTATTTTATTAGTGTTATTAATAAGAACCATTAGTGTTATTAGTAAGACTTATTTTATTATGGGTGATAAATATTCAGGACGCAGTCATTATAAAGTTTTTATTAGTGCTGACGTTTCAACCCAAACATGTGGGTCATCATCAGCACTAACAAAAACTTTATAATGGCTGTCTCCTGAATATTTATCACCGATTATATCTAGAACAGTTGACCAACTTCCTCCAATAATCTCTTATTTTATTAGTATTATTTCATTTAATCATCCTTCAACAACTTCTACTATTTCTAATATAGAAACATATTTCTTAAACTTACCATAGTTGAATCCTTTTGAGTCAAGATCATGAAGGAATGCGCGAGTTCAGAACTTTCTCCAAACACCTCATGTTTACTGCCAACGACTGTCCACATATCAAGGCAACCTGGTAACTCAAAAGTTGTTGCTACCTGAAATCGTATAAAATGATTAAATCTCTTACCAATTCAAGATCTGCTGAAATTAAAATTTCATACAACACAATATGATAATTGTACAAAGTTATATTAATATTATAAATAATTCTGACACAAGAGGAACAAAGCATTCTATAAAATTAATGAAAACTGTGTTAATATTACCTGAGGCCTTATCGAGCGTTGAAGAACACAGAGCGCACCATTTTTGCCATATCCTGAACTAGTAACAAGCTCGACATCTGGGTTTGGACTACTGTTGAATTCTTCAGAGAGAAACGCTGGTTCACCCATCGAAACATTTCCACACGGTCCAATATTAAGCAGACTGTCACAAACCTGAAAAGAGTTTTCTATATATTTATCGAAACCGTTATTCGATTCACCCTATCTAAAAATCCATCTCATTCTTAAAAAGGGGTAAACAGATCTGATTAGAGAGATGATTTGAAGGTTGGACAGAGATAATAAAGTCAGTAGTAGGTAGAGAGAGATTAGATATTACAGAGAAAGTAGACATAGAGTAAGATAAAGAATAAGAGGGAGAAGATAGATATTAGATATTGTACCTCAAAAGCATAAGATGAAAGCTGAACTGATGTTTGCACTTCATTGCCATACACTTCTAATTCATCTTCATCCCTAATTTCAGTAACGTCTGAAGCCATGCAATCACCTGAAACAATGAAATAAAAAAATAAAATCTTCAATACTCCTAAGGGGGATACTTATTTTCTGAGGTATATAAGTGAGATTTGTTATCAGTATTTATAATTTATAATTAAAAATAATGATAATTCTTTCAACACAAAATGGACTAAAAAAATATATATATATAACAAGTAATAGACTATTGAATTTCCATAGCCAACATCCAAAATATCAAATAATAAAATAATATATATTATATTAATAATAATTTAATATCTTGATTGAAAATATATTCCCTAAGCCAATCATTAAAAAAATGTGGTTTCAAATTAATGAAACAAAGAGTAAATACTACAAAACTTTTGATAAAACAGAAAATAACCATAAATTACAACCCTTAATCCATAAAAAATTTCAAAACAAAATGAAAGTTAACCAAAAATCCATAAAAGATTTTTTTACATCTAATAATACTATATGAGAAGGAGTTGGGAGAGGGGGTGCGTTCAAATAAATACTAATTTTTAAAAATTAGTATTTATTTGACCGCAACCCTCAACCAACTCCTTCTCATATTATATCACGGTCAACCATCTCTACATCATAATAATACCATAGTTACAGAAAAAACATGGAAATAAACAAGTAAATGAACCTTGAAAACAAAAAATATTACAGATTAATAAAAAAAATATTTCATGATAATAATTACGAGATAAACACAGGTTTATATAATCAAAACAAAATAAATAACTACCTAAGTCTGATGAAAGATAAAATAAAAAAGTTGAAATAAAAAGATATTGTTTACAAGGTAGATTGTAATGCGACATACATAGGCGAAACAAGAGAAAACATAAAAAAAAGAATGAACCAGCATTTTAATGATACAAAAAATAGTAAAACAGACAATTAAACAGCCCTAGCCCATCATAGCATTACTAACAGACATGATTTCAACTTAGCACAACCACAAATATTATATAAGGAAACATATAGTACACATAGAAAGGTAATAGAGTCGATATTTATTATTAAACATAATAAAAAAGCAATGGATTTTAAAACTGCTGCAGCTAAAATAGGGAACCATTATGCCTATCTAATTAACAAATTAGATATATAAAAAAATAAATAAAAGAATTGGAATTTGACACTCTCCTCAAGGTTTGTTTCAGTATCTGACTAAGCTGAGGAAACTAAATATGATTTTCAAGGTAATGTATTCAATATTGAAACTAGTTAAATACATAAAATAGTAATAATAAATTATATTAAAAAAAAATTATTACATTTTAGGAATGAAATATGACAATAAAAAATTAAAATAAATAAACATGACAAATCTTATATAAAAAATAAGAGAATATAGCATGAAGATACTGGTAAGATTGGCAACATTTTATTATTGTTGTTTAAAGTTATATAAAAAATATTATATTGATTGTATAAAAATATAAATAACGAAAATGTTCTAATTTCTAGTCTGAAGATGGGATATGAAAGTAGATTCCAAAACGTCATAATACAATAAAGAATAATTGTTTTTGAGAGAATAAATACTGTTAACAAATCTCACTTATATACCTAAAAAAATAAAAATAAAATGACAGTTAAAGAACAAATCATTTTGATAATATTAATATAAATTTCATTAAACTCACCCAAAGTATCGAGCCTTTTCTTTTTCGGTGGAGGTTTGTCGGCAGATAAGTCTATAACTAAAACCGGTTTAGTGTCGACGCTGTGCTGTTCTTTTTCTGACAACTTAAGTAAAAGTGAGTTTCCCAATCTTGAACCCAAAAACAAGAAATTGTCTTCACAGAGGCACATCTGAATAAAAAAAAATAAATGTTACAAGTACAAAACAAAGCTAGATGAAACTTCATTTATAAATATTATATCCCACTCCTTCTCCATCTATAATGTTTTCGTCTCTTCTGAAAGAATTTATTAACATAATTATTTTAGTTTATTATTTTCAATAATGAAACATTGTGATCGAACAAAAAATTCAAAAACTTAACTCCCTCTCAAAATTTGAGGTTTTACGTTTCACGATACGTAGAATTCTAAAACGAATAAAAATTTGTTTGTCTATCAGCTGTCCGTACATTTCCTTCGAAATTACTGGACCGATTTTTTTTTTCAAATTTGTCTTTAAAATCCCATTTGACTTTTTTTTTTCTTCAAAAATCACGAAAAGTGTGAAAACTTCAATATGCTTCCACCTATTCACACAAAATTTTGCAGGGATATAGGGCCTTATAAACTACACGGAATAACACAAACTGTACCTTCCTAAATAATTTAGAACTCAAGTTATAAAATAAAAACCTGTTAGGAGTTTTTATTTATTTAGTTAATGCTGGGCAAAAACATCATAATTCATTACTGAGTTGCCATGACAACTATCTCAGCACAGCTCTTCTATCCTATATATTATTTCTAAAAGGGTGTTTTTTTGTCGGTACGCCATAACTTTTTATGTTAAATAGAATATTGTAATCGGTCAAGGAAAAAATATTAATTCCTTACTTACATAATACATAGAAACTACTTATTTCCATATTGTTTTGCTATTTCTTCACTAAACCAAATTTTCTGCAAATTATTCGCACGGGCCAACTAGTTGCTTATTATTTCCAAACAATTTTACATCTAAAGTAACATTACCTTCCTGGTAACATAAAGAAAAATAAATAAAAGGTGTTTCCTATTATTGACATAATTTTTTTTTTTCATCATTAGTAATTTTCAAAGGAAAATAGCATTATATCAGTGACACTTTCAAAAGTCAAAAACCAAAACAAAGGATATAACCTTTGTAGTAGAACATATGAAAAATATTTAGAACACCATATCTTTGTTTCGAATCGTCAACAATGTTTTTTTGGAAAAATTGGTAAGATTTTAAATAACCACAACAATATCGACAAAAAAGTGTTTATTTTTTGAGTCGGAAATGTAATTTTAGCACCATCGTAAATTTTTATCCAGCTTCTTATTGTTGAAGTAAGTTATATAGATAAATTTAAAGGACATTGAGAAGAAGATTGTAGCTAAGTTTCATCGAAATTGGTACATTCGTTTAGGCGCTAAAGTCTATACCAACACAGATTTTTTGGCCACCATTTTGAAAGGAAAGGGCGGATAGTAACGTAGGAGGATCATCTTTGGAGGACCTCTGACTTTGATTCCAAATTCGAAAAAAATCAGTTCAGTAGACTCGAAGAAAATGTGCAGACAGTGGATGGACAAAAAATTTTTTATTCAATTTTCAAGTTCAACAAGCGTAAAAGCTCCAACTTTTAGGGGTGTTAAGTTTTTGAATATTTTGGACGATTACAATGGTTCATTATTGAAAATAATTAAGCAAAAAAGAAAATCATCTCCTGCATGCCCTATTTTGCTATTTATAAAGAAAAAGAAGATTCTGCTTACACAAAGAAAGTGATACCTATCAGATGTGATTTTCCACATATCAACAGCCTAAATTAAAAAAATCATCTTTAATATCAAAAAGAAAATTTTATATTCATATTTTCAAAAATTGTTGTTAAATTCAAGCTCAAAAAAATAACAATTAAATAATTAGTATAGCAGGACCACGATTAGTTGACAGCCCAAGGAGGAATTTATAGAGCACATAGAAAATAATACTTGGTTTTTTATATACAAAATATATAAATACATTAGAAGTTTAGGGTAACATCTTTCAAATATATTGTAATGTCAACATTACATAGTGTTTTTGAATATTGGCGCGAAGGTGGTAACATCACGAACTACTGACAGGAAGTATGGTGGGGGAAGCAAGCCTCATTTAACGGCAGAAGGTGACCAGCCAGCCAGTGAAGAGAGGTTAAGAGAAGAGATCCTATCCTGGCTCCAGTGGGTAAAACCAGTAATAATTTTACCATCCTAGAAGATCTTGTTTGGCATGGAGAATAGTTATTGGAATTGCAATAACCCAATTTCCCAGAGAGCTTGAGTTGAGTGGAAGAATAGTGTTACCATTTTGGGATATGCGTTTAGCAGAACATAAGAAAACGTGTGAAGAAAAATGAGTTCATATAATATATAAAAAAATTAGCTGGCCATCCATATTTGACTTTATATTAAAATCAATCAATGTTTAATTTTAGTATAAACGAGGATGTATGTTAGTTGTCAAAGCCCAACCTGAGAATTCATATATGTGTGAGAAATAAATGTTATATTGAAAAAGAAACTGGTAGTTTAATTTCGGAGGAAACGAGAACATTACAACATGTTTATGTTTTGTTAATAATACCGGAATGTTAGGGAAAAAACAAGATGTTAGTTTCAACTTAGTGCCATATTAGTTTCCCCTTGGGTTGTCAACTTATCGTAGTCGAGCTATAACTCGGTGTCTGTAAAGAAAAAAATGATAATAATACGTACACAAGTGGTGAGTACGCTAGCAGCTGATCTTTGAAAATGAAAGCTTCTTACGCTCCTCATACTGTCGGCATGCAATGTCACAACGTATAATTCTCCGCCTTTCAACGACATAACTAATCGATCGTGTGACAGAAAGCAAACTTGTGAACTTTCTAGAGTAATTTTCACACCATCCTGCGGTTCTGAAATAAACATGAAAAATAACTCATAAATATACTTAAAGAAGTAACATAAATAGAGTAGAAAAGATACACATTAAGCACTTATAGAAGGAAGCTAGTCGACTGTACTACATACCATGGGTGATAAATATTCAGGACGCAGTCTTTTTTAATTTTTATTTGTGCCAACGTTTCAACCCAAACATGTGGGCCATCTTTAGAGCGTGGTTTGAGCACTGAGGGTGTCAAGTACTGCTTAAGTATTTGAACACCCTGCCCTGAAGATGACCCACATGTTCGGGTTGAAACGTTGACACAAATAAAAATTAAAATTTTTTTTTAAAAAAGACTACTAAATATTTATGACCCATGATTAAGCACTTATAATTTTTTTTTTTGCATTTAATCAAGGTTTAAGATTTAAAAACCAAAATTAAACTGAATAAAACGTAATTTTAACAAGAAAAAAATGTTATATAATATTTTTAACGTTTCTGCCTTTATTAGCCATATTCAAAAATTAAAAAAAGAGCAAAAATATCTTAAACCAGTAGGCCAGTGTGAATAATTCGCAGAAAATTTTCTTCAGTAAAGAAATAGAAAAAAAATGTGCAAATAAGTAGATCCTATGTATTATGTGAGGGAGGAATTAATTGTTTTTCCAGGGTCGATTATAATATTCCATTTAACATAATAAGGCAAAATATTAGTACAAATTGCTTTGTTAGAGCGTATTTCTAAACGCTGACTGAAAACGTAACATTCAAAATAAAGCCTCAATCATGGGATTTTCTAAATTATTAAAAAAAAAAATAGAATGTAAAAAAAAAAAAAAAAAAATGGCTTTAAGAAATAATAAAGCCATAAAGAAGAAATAATATCAGCCAGAAAAAAAAAAGGTAGTAAAATAGTAAATACAGTATCTTTGAAGAGGAAGAAACTATTTAGTATACCAAAATTAATGGGCCGTATCTTTGTTAATAATTGTCCAATTTTTCGTTTGTTTTGTTTTGTAGGTAATTTAGTAATCTTTTTGATAATGATGGGTACTATCAAGAAAAAAAATTATACTTTTTGAGTCATAAGCAAATAAAATTTATTTTTCTTTATAACTTTTTCCCCAGAAATTTCGGGGGATAGGACAATTTTTCGTATGTGAAGAAGAAGAATATTTTCAGAATGAGTTGTCCATTGATGTTAATCTCATTAATAACTATGTATTATCTATTGTTTATATGTGAACACATATAAATAAATAAATATATATATATATATATATATATATATATATATATATATATATATATATATATATATATATATATATAATCATATATATCTATGTTTAATTCAAATTTTAACTTGTGCCTTTTGATGATTTTAATTTCAAGGCTCGATAACCACGTAATTGAATTAATTCTTGATGATCTTTTTATGTAAGACTAACGTCACTAAATTGTTCATTGTAATTATTGTTAGGGGACTGAATGTCCCAGAATAAAATTTACTTTCTTTCAAAATCTCAGTCCCATCTATAGCTCCAAGACACACTTGTTTCAAGTTTTAAGCTAAATATAAACCTTTTTTTATTAATTAAAAAGTACTATCTTAAATTATACATGTTTGTTATCACTCAAATTCTTTGGTAGATCAAATTTAAACAATCTTTTATTTTCACATGTAAGCATCCAATTAGCTTTTCCTCAAAAGACAGTTGTCTGTTTTTGATATGACAAATGAAATACAACACATGAGATATAGAATATATACATATAACAGAAAGAATCAACTTAAATATATATTTTAATTTTATTTTTAGAACTATACTCACTCAATGGAAATCCAGTACTAATGTCAGTCAAAGCATTGAGACTGACACCATAAGGAGGGACACTTTGATTAAGATAAATCAAAGCATTATGGGATACAACTAATGTACCCGCAAGAGGTTTTGACACTGGCACTAACATTTTACAATCCATCGGCAAGTTATTAACTGACCAAATTACAGGATGTACTTTTTGATCCATATTCAGCGAAATAGCCACCATACAGCAAGTATCTCTTCTTACTGCGATTCTCCTAAAATTAAATAAGATAAATTAACTTGATGTTAGATACAACTAAATGACAGATGGATGGTTTTTTTTTTTCTGAGTATATTGAAATATAAAACTCAAATTTTGGAAATATATATATTTTTTTTGTAACTTCAAATTTTCATTATTTAAAATAAACTAAATATAAATACTAACAACAAAAACATCAAGGTAATTAAAAATAAAGATAATTACTATGATGAAAATATTCGATAAACATGAGTTAAAACAATAAAAAATAAACAAACTGTTATTACAAATTTAGAGATAAAACATTTATAAAGGAGAAAACTTAATTTGCTAGAGATCATTACATATTTAGATTAAATAATCAATCATTGTAACAGTGTCAAGTTATAAAAAAAAAAAATTTGCAATAAAAATATATCACTTTCGTACCCTGGAAAGGTTTGCATTGGTTCAAAGAGGATTAATAATGTCGGCTCATTATATCCATGTAAAAATTGAACATCTAAAACATTTTCCATTTTTTCTTCAATTTCTTTCAATTCTATGAGATAAGAAGTAAGAATAGGAGGTCTGGTGGGTTGCGAGGTAGGTGTTGGTTCGGGCGCCAACTGTCCTGTGGGGTCTTCAATAGTATTTTCACGGCGGAATGGTAATACAACCAACTTTCTTCCATATATAAGCATTACAGCACATCTTCCTTCAGGATCTACTCTAATTACAGGAATGCTATGATGTTGAGTCCATCCAGCCTAAAACAGGTCATGCAAATGTGTATGTAAGTAAATTTTCTGAATGCTTTGAAAAAATAAAAATAAATAAAAAAGAATTGTTAAATGTCAATACATCGAATATTTAATATTTCTTAATAATAATAATGTTAGAATTGTATTATTATAAATTGTTAGAAAATTATTTCATCATCATTATCATATGTGGCACGACATCCCGTTACCAAGACTGGGCCTCCTTCAAGAGCCTCCGCCAGTTGGCTCTGTCTTCTGCTGCAGCTCTCCAGTTCCGTACACCAAGCAAGGTTCTCGCATCATAGGCCACGTTGTCCAACCATCTCGTCCACGACCTTCCTACCCGTCTAACGAGATGCAGCTCCTCCATCATTATTTTCTTTGGTATTTCAACGGTGCTCATTCTGGCCACATGCCCAGCCCACCTTAGTCTGACCAGTTTAATATACGTGACTACGTCAATGTCTGTATAGAGAGAACTGAGTTCCCTATTTTTTCTTTTCCTCCAGACATCACCCTCCTTTACTGGACCATAAATCCTTCTGAGGACTCCTCGCTCAAACGCACTCAGCTTCATCTCATCGTTTTTAGTCATCGTCCAAGCCTCTGGCCATATGTCAAAACAGGCCGTACAAGGGTCATGTATATGATCAACTTAGTCTTCTTTGAGAGGTACCTACTTCTTAAGTGTCGGCCAAGTCCAAAGACACATCTATTGGCAGCCGTGATCCTTCTTTGTATTTCTTGAGCCTTGTAATTTTTGCTATTAATTTCAGACCCAAGGTATATAAAACTTTTCACTCTCTCAAACTTAAAAGAACCTACCTCAAATGGAGAGTTCAGATCCACCTCACCACCAACTCTCATATACTTAGTTTTCCTCTCGTTGACTTCTAGACCAAGTGGTCTTGCAGCTGCTTCAAGGCCTATAAACGCTTCTCTGAGAGCCCGTTCAGACCTACCTATTATGTCAATATCATCAGCAAAACCAAGAAGCTGTGTCAGGCGATTGAAGATTATATCGTTGGTCTGAATACCGGAGTCTCTTACAGCTTTAGATGACCATGGACAGCTCGAGATGTAGAATACGCGTCGGTTCTGACGACTCCGAAGAGAAAATTATTTACTTATTATTAATGGCACCAACCGATAGACGTTGCCATCTGGTCGGACCAAATTGTAATTATTGGTTAATAAATTCTAAATTAAATTACATATTCAATAAAGAAATTCTTAATCATTAACAGCAGCAGGTATGAATAAAATGCTTACCGAGAATACTAGTCAGTTCTTCACATTGAAGCTTTAAGTCTTCACTTCCAGACCATGGATTAAATTAATGCATTATTTTTATAAATGTATGTAAAAACGAAAATGAAAGCACATACAATAACAAATAAATTATTTATTTATATAGAAAACGAGCCCATTCAGAACAATATTACATGAAAACAAATTGAATGTGCTTTAATTTAAGAGTAAAAAATCTGGTGCGAGCATCACATGACTTTCATTAACCACCTTCTTCTTAGCAGAAATAAGTATTTTCAGACAAGGGGAAGTGAAAGTACAAATTATATTTATTTAAATTTTATTGTGGGTATTTATGTTTATTTAATTATCCTTATATATACAAATTTTAATTTTTATATAGGTGTAATCTATAGAATTAAATATTAAATAATACCGATAATAGCATTTATGAAAAACGGATATGTATATGTACATAATATTGTTGGAATCTGCATGATATTAAGCTCATGTTACGTATGGAAGCCTGTTATAAGAGTAAGCTCAGGCATGCTCATATTCCTTTGGTTCCTCCATTTCAACTATTCAACCATCCATTACAATATCTTATTTCTCCTTTAGTTCATTACGAAATTCTTTAATATTTAACTATTTTTTATATCAAAGATTAATGTGGAATAGTTAATTCTCTCAAATAAAAAAAAATATAAAGATACTTTAGAGGAAGCTAATATTGAAAATTAGCCATTTAAGCTCTGTTAGAGAACATCACTGAGAATAAAATCTACATTATATTAAAAATGCTAAATAATACCCTGATATACAGAGTTTAATCAACATTGTCAGAGCCGTTTTTGAGAAAATCTTAAAAATGTGTTATATCAATTACATAAAGTGCCACTTCCGGTTAGCCAATTTTGATTAATATGTTGCTGTAACATCCAAGGTATATAGAAACCTTAAATATGAAATTTCGCTTTCTTATGACTTTTCCTTTTTGAGCTAGACTGATCACACACCCACGAAACTGTTGTGAAACCAGTGATATTGTACGTTGCGGAAACAATAGGATTCACAAAAATGGAGGAATTGTTAAACATGCAGAGGAAAATCATGTGAAATATATATGGCCCTAAGAAAATAGAGGGGAGAATACAGAATGAAGAGTTATCGTGATTTGTACTTTGTACAAAGGAGTAGAGGATATAAAGACATCAATCACAAAAAGAAGAATAGATTTTATGAGCATAAAGTCAGGATAGACAGCGGATACGTCTATACTGTGGAATTCAAGGCACCAACTGGGGCCATACCTAACCCGAAGGTCTTAACCAGCCCCAGCCTGGCCTCACAGCCCGGATAGAACCAAGAGGTGCGAGCACACAACCGGTGCTCACGGAACGGACTAATCCCACTTCTTATAGCTTTCGTCCGCTTATCTGTGCACTATACCAGATGACTGGTCTGAACTACGTCACGACTTCAGTGATTTATTTGTGGTTCAGAGTTGGCTTGTATCAAGAATAAAAAAAACATATTAAAAAAAAGAAAAATTTTATTTAGTCACTGGTTGGCTTGCCACACTCGCTCAAGAAATAAACAGACCATTACAGGTTCTTTTCAAAGGAGATGATCATTTCAATTCATTATCAAATACATCTAATGATTTATAACAAGGTAGCTAAGGAGATTTGTAACATCCGTAAACTTTCATAAATACTCATCTCCTATCAGGATTCTATCTATATTGTGATCTATGTTTTCTTTATCACCTGTCAACCAGCCATGACGTTTATGAACTAGTATTAAATTTTTATATGCAAATTAACTGAAATCTCTTCTTTAATTAAACAAATATTGGATCATCGGAGATAGGTAGAATTTACACACGGAATATAACATAATACATTAAAAAAAACATATAATACAATAACAACTTATGTCAAAAAACTTACTTGGATTTCTTCTTCCTCAAAGTAATGTAAAGACACTGTATGAAGAGAATTACTATCTAAATCATACTCAACTATGCTCAGTTTAGCATCTTTAAAACTAATTAATAGAGAATCACGTTGTGAACCAATGAAGCTGACGGATGCTAAGGACATTATATTCCCAAATAATGAATAATTGGCAACACACTCTAATCGCATCTTGGGAGGATTTTTATCTGAAAATATTTACAAAAATAGATATCTTGCACACACATAAAGAATGTCATAAAAGTGAAATTATGATTAAATACCTGTATACATATGTCTTTTATTCATATCAATTTCAGGCATAAAGCGATACACTCTTATAATATTAGCTCCAGCGACAACCAGGGACTTTTCCAAACGATTAAAGAAGTAACAAGTGACTGCATGTTCTACTCCAGTAGCTGGATGAGTTAATTTACTTAAAGAAAACATCTTTAGGGAACTGTAAAAAGTTGGGAATATCAGTAATAATTATTAAAAAAAAAAATTAAATAAATCTTTTAGGTTAATTTAAACACTTGCACATTACTTTTCTATAAAACTGGTAAGACTCCGTTAAATTTATTATAACAATTATTAAACTAACTGTAAAAGATTAAAACTGCCCCCCAGGAAAATGTCAAAATATATAATCCTTCAATACATCATGACACATCTACAAACTAAGTTTTGTAAATTAAAACATTACACAGCATTTAAAAACACACTAAATTCATTCACATGTCACTGACAATCTTTCTAAATGACCGGTATTTACAATACACAACTTCCAAAGAGGTCTAAAGTGATATAATTTCAAAAATAACTAAGAGATAGTTAAGGAGATTATCATAAAATAAAAATCAGAGTTCTCTGACTACTTCCACATATAAACTTATATTTTTTTAGAATAGAAAATAATTTTATTCCGGGACGGAGTCCCTTTAGAATAACAAAAAAGTACAAAATTAAAATATTATATCTGGCCTAAATAAAAACAAACATAAAAAGTAAAAATGAAGAGAAATAAGTAAAGAAAATATTATTTAAATATACTATATACAAAATAAATAGAAAAACTATATACAAAAATCTTGAAACCATGCCAAGACACTTAAAACTATTTACAGTGGTAAAATATAAATATACACTTTTAGAAAAAAAAAATAATAAAAAATACATTACATTCTTCTTAGCAGTAACCTCTGTGTTTCTGCATAAAAAGAAAAAAGAAAGTCGAATCTGATAGTAAGTATGATGAGTTATATGTAAATACATCATTATGAATAATATGTAATTTTACATAAAAGGTTAGCGGGTATCTGACAGTTTTGGGACAGGAATTAGAACAGGAGGGTATTAAATGTAGATAGGGAGGAAGAATGCCAAATTTTGATAGGAAGGGAATTCCAGAAATTAACAGAGCGAGCAATAAAGGAGTTTTGGAACCAGGCAGATCTGTGAGAAGGAATGTAAAGGTCGGAAGGTCGAGATCTTGTGGAAAGGGAGTGGGCTGAGGACTTGAATTGAAGAAGGTTGTAGGCGTAAGAAGGGCGATGAATGTTGATGATTTGATAGAGGAACGTACCTAAGAAATATTGTCTTCAAATAGAGAGGAAGAGCCACTTTAACTCAGTGTAGTGGTGAGAGACATGGGAGTATCTCGGGGCACCAATTACAAATCTTACGCAACTGTATATTCAAATTATTTTTTAAATTTCAATTATTTGGGGAACTAAAACTAAATAAATAACAATAAATGCGCCATATTTACCTTAATCTGTCGTTACTAAACTCAGTGATGAAACGGACAACTCCTATAATATCACTTTGTCGGTATCGCTGCGGATTACTGCGCCCGTGGTATTAAATGGTAATACAACTATATCGCCACATATAAGTACGATATTTAATAATGATGTTACTCATTTACTGTAGATAGAGTAACACCATACGATATTATCCTATCGCTGGGACATATCACATTACGTGTTTTGAAGCCTTTATCCATTAATGGATTTCCGGTATTCATCAATGATTTCGAAGCTGACTCTAGGAAATGGTCTAAACTATCAAGTTATACAGGCATATATATATGTAATAATTATAATAAGAAGAAAGAATACACTTTGCTCGAGGACGCATGAATCTATCCAACATGTTACCAATGGCTGCGATACTCTGGCAGGAACGGAATACCTCATGAGGCATAATAATGTCGCAAAAATATACCACCAAAGTATATGTAGAAAATTCGGACTAATGGATAATGACGAGTTACCCTATTATCGCTATGCCCCGGCAAAACTTAATGAAAATAGGAATATAAAAGTTTACTGGGATCAAAATATAATAACGGCCCATAGGGTACTGAATAACCGTCCGGATATCTTGGTTATAAACAAAAGAAATAAAACTGGAGAAATTATAGATATAGTAGTACATTGTAATCTCAACATGGTAACTATCAGGACCGAAAAAATTAGAAAATGCCAAGAACTTGCTTTCGAATTAAGAACACTATATCACTTGGAAAAAGTGAAGGTTACTCCATTAATCATATCTTCTAATGGTTTAGTATTGAAAAGCACAGTAGAGAGTACCCAAGAACTTGGACTTGATTTATCATATTTAAAAGCAGTACAAAAAACAGTCCTGCACCTATGGTCAGAAAGTTTGTAAATAAGTAATTCTTTTTATTTTTACGTTCATCTACATTCCCCTGAATGTTTTTCCCGAGTGTGGATGCTATTCCAGAAATCTGAGGAAGCTAAGAGAATATAATATAATAAGAGAAAAAGAAAATATGAGAATTATCATTTAGATTCAGGATATGAGAATAAGCATTAAATCTGAACAAAGATCTGGCACCTATAAGAATTGTATGTTTTTGATAAGTTCAACCTTCATTTAAGAATTCTGAGCATTATAGCATTTGTAGTCTTATACTGATTTCATCAAATTCTATTTAGGGGATGATTGCTGCAAAGGCTTTGTTAGGCTCTATATTTGATTTAACTAAGTAATGGTTCACAGGAATATATATACAAGAAATCTAATTTAATTGGATACCAAACTATGGTCAGATATATATATATATATATATATATATATATATATATATATATCTGTCAAGAAAAAACAGAACATTATTCGGAGTCAAGGAGTTTGAACATGAACATTCTTTGTTTTCGAAAAAGATATGATGGAGATAAGAAAAAAAAAAAAAAAAAAATTAAAATAGTGAAAACTATCAAACATTTCGATCCAACTGTGCAGGTGTTTGTCAGGACAATGCCTCTTCCCTCAGTGCCCTACAGTTTTCTATAGGCTTTGTATCCTGTTCCTTCTAGCCCTGATGAATACTTTGGCAATGATATTTAAGTGGATTGAAATAAATATTAAAGCTGACAGATATATAAATCAGGGTTTGAAATAAAAAAATAAAAATCATATCTGATCAAAATTTTTAAAATCATTTGATCATCATTTCATGATTTTTATTACATAAATAAATAAAATAATTAATAATAAATAAATTAAAATTAATGAGTACAGACCCTACTCCACTACTTAGACCACTACAACGCGAGTTCGATTCCTGCGTGGAAACAGTAACATCCCCATCCTGAGATTCATAGGGAGATGAGCGACCCCTGTGTCTTACATCATAGCTCCTGGTCCTCCAGGTTGGGGGTTGGATATAGAGGTATATAGCTGATAATTCCCTATCCAATAAAAAATTGGGTGGAAGATTGTCAACCATCCTTCAGGAAAGTTCCTGATGAAAAGGGAGTGAATTGTGATCGTGTCCAGTTAGTAAAATGAGGTGCTCCCTGGATATCTCAAAGAACAGAGGACCAAACGATCACTACTGTCACATATAACAGTACCAAAAAAAAAACTGCTAAAGAAGACTCATGATGAATAAGTCATGATGAATAATAATTCTTGAGGAATACTTTTTAAATTAGGAATATAAATTGTTTGTAATATTTATGATATATTTTGGGTCTGGATTAGTAGGTGGAGAATATTGTTGTCAACTATTAGCAACAGAACATCTTTATTTCTAAAATTCATTTGAAATTTTGGCTTACAGTAATGTGCACAATTAAAGCAGTTTTAGAAATATAACAATAAAAAATGTGTAATTTAATAACCTATACATACACATTAATATTTAATTTAATTTGTGTATAAAAAGTGATTTTTATTTTCTAATAAAAAATGTTTTTATCATAATTTAGTTATTATTATTTATGTAAAATCTTATGACTCAGTGTACATCATTATTTTTAATCAAATCAAAAAACATCAAAGATCAATTTAAATTTGTATATATAAGTCAGTCATGATTTTAAAATTAAAAATCAAATATAATAATTATTACATCATTTAGTGGAAAAAAAATTATCATTTTCAAACCCAGATGTAAATGGCAAACAATGGTGAATAACAATAATGAATGGTAAATAATTATGTTGAAGTGAATATTGAAACTGATAGAAATAAATTGTTTTTATTATTTAATTTAATATTTGTATTCCTCATTCTCTAAAGTAGATGTTCAGTTTGTATCTGATTTAAAATAAATTCTCCTTTTTTTTTCTTTTTTTTTTTAACTTTTACCAATTAATAGTAATAATGGGAATGATTTAAAAAATATAAACTCATATATAATATAAACAAAATATCAAATAACTACTTATTTTATTATAAAATAAATCTTGTTTTGATTATGAAAAAAATAGATCGATAGATAGTTTATTGGCTAATATATACATCTTATAACCATGGAATTTGGCCCATTTGGTGTCAGTTGTTGTTAGTATGACAATGAAAGCAGATATAAATACGTATCAATAGGTAAACATATTGCTTACTATAACATAATAATACAACAAATTAAATTTATTTTTTTATTCCTAATAAATAATTAAATAGTTATTCCTAAAATAACATAAAAAAGTGTACATCTTAATATAATTTAAAAATATAATGAATTAACGTTTTCAGCCTCACCCTTGACAATGCTCCTGTTTTTGGTTATTATGTTTGATTACTATTTATTAAGTAATAATCGGTTTGTTACACAAATTATGTAGATTCGTTATTACTTTAAGTATATATAGTTTTTAACAAAAAGATATATTTCTTATTTAGTTTATCCACATTATCAATATTTAGAAGATTTTCTAAGGATGATTGTTTACTGTTTTGAACAATATAATTTCCTAGGTAATTTTCTCTGTTAATACTCAGTGTGGGACATTGCAACAAGTGTTCTAAGTTTTGGAAGATATATTCTTGACACAATCTACATTTTTCCCCTGTTTTATAATACAAGTAGTATTCTTATGAAAAAGATTCAACTTTTCAGTATCTGAAATTCTTAATTGGCTAACGAGTTTCAATTTATTTATATTTAGATTATGAAAAAAAATATATGGAAAATATAATATAAAATTATTCCAAACATTAAATATATTTTTTCTTCAGAGAACTCCCTTCTCTGAATCCACCAATGCATCCCTTGTAGAATGTTATATCAATATAAATAACTCTTCATATTTCTCAAGACACATTATGAAGATTTCAAAAAGAAATGAAAACCCACACATGCATGCATTAATACACACACATATAAATAAATGGAGACAAACAAGATATAACTGATGATATATATTTTTAAAGGCTACTCTTTTTTAAAAAAGTAATTACAACATAATTCAAGTTGTAGGAATCAACAATTCAGCTTTAACATCTAAACAGAGAACATTCCTTACTTACTAATACTTATATATAATCATAACAGTCCCGTGATAGACTGAAACGACTTATGAACAGCTGCAAAAGATTTGTAATTGCTGCTCCGAGATATTCCCAAGTTTCTCACCACTACATTGAGTTAAAGTGGCTCTTCCCCTCCATTTGGAGACAATATTTCCTAGGTACGTTCCTCTATCAAATCATCAACATTCATCGCCCTTCTTATGCCTACAACCTTCTTCAATTCAAGTCCTCAGTCCGCTCCCTTTTCACAAGATCTCGACGTTCCGATCTTTACATTCCTTCTCACAGATCTGCTTCATTCTAAAACTTGTTTATTGCCCGCTCTGTTAATTTCTGGAATTCCTTTCCTATCAAAATTCGCCATTATCCTTCCCTATCTACCTTTAAATCCCTCCTATTCCAATTTCTATCCCAAAAACAGCCTGACACTTCCCGCTAACCTTTTATGTAAATCAAAATGATTCACATAATGATATATTTACATATAATTCATCACTCAAATACTTACTGTCAAATTCGTCTTCTTTTTCTTTCTTTTTTTCTGCAGAAACACAGAGTTTACTGCTAAGAAGAATGTAATGTATTTTTTTTTTTTTTTTAAAGTGTATACTTATGTTTTACCACTGTACATAGTTTTAAAAGTCTTGGCATGGTTTCAAGTGTTTTGTATATAGATTTTTTTTCTTTATTTTTACTTTTTATGTTTGTTTTTACTTAAGCCAGATATAATACTTTAATTTTGTACTTTTTTGTTATTCTAAAGGGACTTCATCCCAGAATAAAATTATTTTCTATTCTATTCTAACATTCATCATAATCATACAATACTGATAATCACGAAGGGTAAATGCATCAATAGTTGACATGCTTAAGGAAATTTCTTTGAACTTTTATGTGTAAAAACTTAAATATTAATGTTATTATAGTTTTCATAGATTCAATTTATAGAACTATTTCTCACCTTACCAAGACATATTTCAAATCCACGAAAAATTTACCTTAATTTAAAAAACTTGAAAATTAATAGAATAGTTTTGTTGTACCAGCAGCTGACACTATTTGATTTGAAATGTTCTTATAGCTGACAGAGATTAGAAAAAGGATGTAACTAAGGAAAATTTCATATTATTCACTTCAAGATTAACAAAAATTACCTTTGATTTGTTATAAAACTAACTTCTTGCATTTCCCGATTTAAATTTATGAATACCTAGGACTCCACCTGGACAAACTTCTAACTTTGAATCCTCATACCAGACTGAAACGACAAGAGACAGCTCGACGTTTCCGACTATTTCAACACTTACTAGACAAACGCTCTAACCTTCCAATTAATTACAAAAGACTCATTTACATTACACATTACATTAACTATAATAAGGCCTATTTGGACTTACGGAGTTGAGCTATGGGGCTCCTCCAAACCTTCAAATTCCTCTTGTATCCAATCCTTACAATCCGAAATCCTTCATAAAATCCTAAATGCTCCTTACTTTGTTACAAATAAATTCATCCATAATGACCTTAATGTTCCTTATGTATCAGATTTGGCCCAATCCAGATACCTTTCCTTCCATAATAAACTTCATAACCATCCTAACCCTCTCGTTTCTAACCTTGCTTCCTATTCAATTCCTGATAACCCTTCGAGGCGTCCGAAAAGAAGATGGCCACATGATCTCTTAATATAGACATATTATTAGAGTGCTACCAATGGGTAGTTTCTCAACATGTGTTTCATGTAATTATATCCATGTACGAATTTACTAGATGTATTTTTTGTATACAGTTGTAAATATCATATAAATAAATAAATAAAAAAAAAATATGAATAAATGTTGTTCACTGTTAAGAACCTGTTTTTGGCAATAGGGAAACCTATTTTTGCTTTATATTTAATCTAAACCTTTAGCATTTTTTTTTTTTTTTTTTATTTTATGAGACAGTAGTAAATGTTCCTACTTTTAAGATGCATTATATTAAGTTTATGAGAGTATAGGCCTGTCAACTACCGGTAAAAGTTCTCATTATAAGTCTTCAGTAGCTGACACTCGTTAAATATCCAATTCTTTCATAAAGATAATTTAAAAACAGATAAAATATAATTTAGTGACAATCAAACAAAAATTTTGTGATAAATCTGAGTAGTTAAAAGATAAAAAGGCAAAGCTAAAGTATGCTTCTCTTACTGACGGGTTCCTGGGACACTAAGTGGATCGTGAGGGACTATCCTAGTTTGACACTTATTAATTCAGTTGCAATTTTCACCAAGACTAAAAAAAAGCTGACAAAAGGAGAAAATATAGAAACTAAAAATATTTTAAATAGATTTCTAGGTTCTGAAATTTTTTATTCCCATTTTTCGAGGAGTATGTCAGGTATTAGTACACTGTCAGCTATTAGCGCTTTTACAATAATTACATAAAGTTATTTCCGTATCAATTTCGACATCGCATCGTGATGAAAAACAAAAAAAGAAATTCTTTGTTTTTAATTTTTTTTTTTCCATTTATAATTTATAAGATTCTGTATATTTTATTTTTTATGAATTGTTAAAAATGATGTATTACTTTTTAGATAGCATTGTAATGAAAAGAAAAAATAATTTTTTTGTTTATATATATTTTTTTTTTATCCCCATTTACAATATTCTATGTATTTAATTTTTACATTCCTCACTATGTATATATAATCTCCCTTTCTCAATGTTTTTGTATATAATTTACAATGGTATTTAATTGTTTACATTACCATTGTGACTATTCATTCAAAGCTCTTAAATATATAAATAATTTCTTTTCTTTACTTACTTTTCTTATTTTTTTCATTTTTCTTAAGCAGCGATATTGCAATATTATTGATCATCTGCTTTCATTAATATATCTTTAAGCAATGAAAAAACTGTTTTATTACTTATGTTTCATTTATTCTTTTATGAATAAGATGTAATGCTAATTTGAATGAACAATATCATTATTCTTAAAGGATGTTGTCCCAGAATAAAGTTGATATTTCTATTCTATTAGATAATATTTTTAAGGGTTATTGCTAAATAATAAATAAATTAAAATATATTGAATCTTTTATTCAGTGGTTGACAATGTTATATAAATTAGGTTTATAAATCTGAATTATAATCCATGTTTTAAAAATTAAAAAACAAAAAAAATTTACTACAATTCAAACAGTTCATTGAAAATGTTACCTTAAGGTTTGTAGTCTTTATATACAATTTATTCCTGTACATATATAAAAACTCTTAAGAGACTAGACTATTTATAAAATTTACATTACGTAGTAGTTATTTACAATCTTATAATTACAAGAATTTGTACAAAAATATTATCCTCAGAGTATCAACAATTAAAAACTTAAAAACTAAATCACAGCACAAGTGAAAAGTATGACTTTTCAATAGTTTTCGTCACATCAAACAGCAGTCTTTATCTCACGTTACTTTTTCCGGAACCATGCCTGAAGTTACAGTTGCTCTGCCGGCAGTGTCCTTTCTTCAAGTAGTATTTACACATCTTGTTTTGGGCCCAGCCTCCACCACCTAAAAAAGAAAAAATAATAAAATAAATATAACAATAATTTTATAAAATTCATCATTATAATAATTTTTCCAAAGCCGACAGAATATTAATTATTGGTAACATTTAATTTTAGGTAATAATAATAAGTGTAAAAAAAAAAATCTATTCACTCTATCAGCTTTTATAAACCACACAACTTTCTTTGCTTTTATAAACCACAGAATGACTCCAATTTCAACATTTTTGAGTGATGCCATTTTAGTGATATTTTTAGTCGAAAAAGTTATCTATGCAGACAATGAGTAAGTTGATTCTGGAGGTGATGATTGCAGTCTTGAAATATAGAACTGAGAATAAAGGTATAAATTTAGGTACTTATTTCTTATGAAAGACTCTTTATCAAATATCTGTAGAAAAGAGGTTTTTTTAGTCTCAACAATTAAAAAAATATATTTTAAATTTATCCAAATTTTTGCCTCTTCAGGGAAAAAAACTAGAGACCATATCTTTCTTGATTTTAACGACTTTTTTTTTGTTTTTTTTTTTTTTAGGAAATTCTATAAGCTTTTAAAAAACCATATCAATAATATCGACAAAAAAGCGTGTACTTTTTGAGTTATTCGGAATTTAATTTTAACATCTCTCATAACTTTTTTTCCAACTTCTTTTCGTTGAAGTATGTTATATAGATAAATTTAATGAGTATCGAGAAAATGACTTTAGGGAAGTTTCATTGAAATCGGTACATTCGTTTAGGCGCTACAGTCTGTAGGAACGTAGGTTTTTTTGCATTTTTATTTTTTTTCTCCTTTATTAACTTATCAAATTCTTTCAAAAGTTATATGTAGCATTTTTTCGTAACTCTGAATAATGCGAAATGGTTAACTTTTTAAAATAAACTATATTAAAGGTACTTTAGAGGAAGGCATATATGAACATTGGACATTTAAGCCCTGTAAAGTGATATCAACGGGGATAAGACCTGAATGATATTAAAGACCACTTAATTATACAATGATACACCGAGTTTGATCAAAATCGTTAGTCGTTTTTGAGAAAATTGTAAAAATGTGTTTCAGCGTTTATATGAAGTGGCACTTCCGGTTAGCCGATTTTAACGAAAAAATCTAGATAGCATTAAAACAGTCTAGAACATTCAGGATAAAGGCGTTGTCCATGGATAAAGGAAGATGCTTTATAGATCAAGAAAGTTAGTTGCAATAATGGTCTCCATATTGTAAAAGTTTCGATGGAAACCAATTTACTTTTCTTTTTCATTTTTTTTTAATAAATCAAAAACTATAAATCCTTCAGAGAATTGGGTAGGGTACTTGCGTGGGGTGGAAAAAAAATCATGTAAATTTTAGCTGCAATAGAATTCGAGTAATAATCAATGTATATAACATTGAGATTGAACTTTTTCTCCATGACATTATTTAATTCATATCCATTAAAGTGTTTTTCATTAAGATGAAGATAATTTCCTGTTTATCCAAATTAATGCTGCGGTCTAACCTTAGAAGTTGGTATAATTAGCATTCTTGCAGTACATCTTTGATCTAACAATCTATTTTAAGTAATTCTATAGAAATTACGATATGAAGCTGATGAATGAAGAACAATTAAATTACCATTAGAATTGTTACAAGCATGAATATCAGTTTAGTTGTTTTATCAAACTTTAAGGTTTAGTTTTAAATAATGAATCATTTTATTATTACTCATTTATTCTTAGTAATTCAAAATTCAAATCTTAAGCGGAAAGAGAGAAATGTCATTTTATTAAACGTAAGATTTTTTTTTCAAAGTTTTCTTTCTTAATTGCTAAGTGTTACAGTTTTTTTAGTCAAACAAATGATAGATATACCTTATCATACATATTGTAGATATATCGGGAGCATATGAACTCAACTATCGAAAAATGTTTTTGATTTTAAACAATGGAAGTATGGTGACTAGAATAATAAAATTTAAAAAAAACGTTCTAAGGAACTTAATTGTAAAAAAATCCAGTCATACCGAAACTGAATAAAAAAAAAATTTCATTTCAAATCCTGCTATATAGGTTGCCATAAAATATTTCTTATTCATATTGCTACATTATTAAACACAAATCAGACCTTTTTTTTTTTTAGACAATTCAAATTCTTAAAAATAAAATAATTATAATTGGTAAAGTACCTTTTGATGGATGACGCCAAGTACCGCCACTTCCACTTCCACCGCCGCCGCCGCCACCATTGTTCTGCCCCCTGAACCACGGTCGATGGTGCCTCTGGTTCTGATCGTGAGGGTGAGGTGGGTTAGGCGGGAAATTTCCTGGGAACATCCCGGGAGGCGGGGGTCCCATAGGGCCGAAAGGAGGAGGCATGAACTCCGGAGGATGAGGATGTGGTCCCATGTGAAACATGTCTGGCGTAGGTAGAAGTCCCGGGTGCATTCCTGGAGGCATTCCGGGCATCATCATCGGTTCGTTTCCTTGGCCGCCACCTACCATCATATTGCCGCCTTCCACGGAGCCCTGTAATAAACACAGATGATAAGAATAAATATATTTGAAAAACAAAAATGAAATTATGGTAATATTATAATTAAATTTTTAAAAAAAGAACAGAAGCCAGAAGATACAGTTTGCTGAGGGAGTCTGGTGATAATATGTAAGAACAATGCTCAAAGAGGAGCTAAAAAATCACCAACAATATAGACTGCGCTTCTACGAAGTTGGTACCATAATCATTAAACAAGAGAGTTAGATTACTTCTACAAACAGAAAAGAGCTTAATAAATCTGAAATGCATAACAATTACCACATGAAGGCTTAAGTAATGATTCTTAACATGAGGTGACCAAGTGTATAGAGTTTGTTAGGATAAGAACAGTAGCAGATCAGATTTAATTAAAAAAAAAAAAAAATGGTAATCACAGGGACATGAATGTTTTAAGATATAAATTTTTCCTTATTATGTGAAAACTATATATGTATTATATTTTAAAATATATATTGTGATTGTTTAATTATTTTGTTTAGATATCGCAACAAAACTAATAAAGACCAATGAAAAAAATATTATTTTTCTCGCCCAGCAAAACATTCTGGATCTTCAGAATCTGAATAATAAATCTAAAATATAAATACTCTATAATATATAATATAATTACTATTTGTTCTACTGATTCAGCACCTTCTTTATTAAATCGGGGTCGTTCCATTTGAAATCTCAAGAGGCCTTGACCTCCATGTCTTGGAAATATTTTTAAAAATTGCGGACACTGTTGAATTTTAAAGCTTGTTTTATGGACTTTCATTTGATATGGAAATGATAATTTCGAAACAAGTAATTATTTATAGATTAAAGTTAGTTGACTGTTCTACATATCATGGGTGATAAATAGTAAGAATGCAATCATTTTAAAGGTTTTTATTGGTTATTGGTGCTGACGTTTCAACCCAAGCATGTGGGACATCATCAGGGCGTGTTTCAAGCACTGATGATGACCCACAAACTCGGACTGAAACATTGGCACCAATGAAAAATTTAAAAATGACTGCGTCCTGACTATTTATCATCCATGACCCATAATTATTTATAATAGTTTTCATTACTATGAATTATAAGTATATTATTTTTTAATGTTATTCACACATATACTGAGTTGATTCGAATGATAGGATCACTAGTAATAAATAAAAAAATATATAGGTGTTACGAAAGAATGAGCTAATTTTCACTATTTTTTGTACATTTGTGCGGTATTCTTGAATAAAATATTAATTAAATAATATGGAGTACATTATTTAGGTACTATGGTCTCAAAACACTTCTTAAGATTTCATTAATAAAAAAAAATTTAAGTTATCTTGACATGTATTGGTTAAATTCAAGGATAAATTAAGAGATTACAAGTAAATGAAATTGAAATGTTAAGGCGGTATTACAAATCTTCTTATCCATATATTCATCTAAAAAACATTTATTCAATAATATGAAGCTGATTATTGTATTGTTTTTATTGGCCCCTAAGAATGTGAGAATGATGTCCGGGAAAATTGGTGTATAGCATAGGAAACTTTGAAGAATATTATCCGAAGTCGGAATTGATGATGGGTATTGGAAATAGTCTTGTTTCAGTCCAGTCAATAATTCTTATCTTAGTCTAGTAACAAGGCTTCTATTATCTGTTTGCAATCTCTCTATGGTTGAGAAAAGTATGGTAGGCTATTAAAAAAAAATTAATGTAGCTGGATACTAAGTCTTTAGTTTAGTTTTAAGGTCTGAAGCAGATTATATTGTTAAAGTATAGTATAGTATAACTGACCGAACATATTACTTTTGGGAGAGTAAAAAAAAAAAAGAAAAATATTTCGCTTTTTTTTGTCATATTAATAAATATAAATTAACTGAAATAGCAACTTATAATTGGAATTAAGTTAATTTGCCATTTATAACACATTTTAGCGAGGTAATGTGCTTCATATTAATCAATAAATGTTTTATAGAATTGAAAATTATGCAACTCTTTTTATGAGATGAATCTGTATAGCATCTAAAAACTTAGATTTTATATATTTATCATCCAATCATTTTTTCATCTTTGAATTTAGAATTAATTTAACCAGTTTATGTGTGAATAACTAAAAATAATTTCTTGTTTCGAGTTTGTCATGTGACATATCAAATAAAAGCTAACATAAAGAGCTTTAAAATGAATTGCCACACGCATGTAAGGCAATAGCAATCATCTATGTTTCTATTCTTAGAAAAAATTCAATCTACTTTTTGTTCCAAGTTACTAAGTTTCGGAATCAATATTGCTTAAACTATTCTACTATTACTAATATTAAATTATATAAATTAATATTATCTATTCGATAGGAGTGGAAGAAATAAAGGTGAAAACAAATAACACATGACTTTATTAATATAAAGACTAAATATTATTGATATAAACAAAGATGTAAACTAAACAGAACTATTTATTTTGCTATATATCTATCTACTAATATAAAAAATACTTAACTATTACCAAACATACAAATACAAATTGAATATATACATATAAACAATTGTTGAACCAGTTTGGTTTTCTCACATAATAGCTTTCCTCCTTTGTTATATTTTGTATAAATAATATTTGTCATGATATCAATAGCAAGAGGAAATAATGTTTGTGACTAATAGGTTGTTTTTCTTTCAAATTTCTAATTTCTTTAGCAATCACGGATATTATAAATGAAGTTTCATTAATTAATCTCACTAATTAAGTATCCAATTATTGATTTTGATTATGAAAGCAGTAAGAAATAAAATAGTTTTGCAATAGCTAGCTTGATCCGTAGTGTCCTCTCACATTGAAAGTTGTCGTTCTATTGCGGAACTGCTCCATGGAACTTAATACTTAGAACAGTTTGGAGCAGTTTCAACATGGATACTTCTAACATGGACTTGAATTTCTTTACAATATTTCTCTTATAAACTATACTTTTAATAGAAAAGTATACAATTAATTACAATAATTTAATTTTCATTTTAAGAAGGTGCAGAATGAGTAAAACTTAATAGGAACTAATTAATACATTATAGGAACTTTTGATACATTTGAGGAACAAAAATAAAATAATATAAAGGAGAAGTTGATTGGAGATAATGTAAAAGAAAAAATAAACACGTATAAGTATTTATTCTTAAAATGTTTTAAAGTTCCCAGTCAAATTTGTAAGTGTTAATCTAGAACTATGTGAACCAAGATAACAATTGAAATATGAAATATTTAATATTAAAATATGAAAATAAAATAAAGAATATGACATAAAATATTATGTTAAAATATAAATGTAAGAAGTTTATTACTCATCTCCTGGTATATTTTTTCATTTGTTGAATATACCTAACTTATAATCCATCTTTCTTTCATTCATACCTCATATTCGATTACAAATTTTTTTTTTATTAGTATTATTCGAATGTATGGCCTACTAAAGTTATTGCATAATAATAATAATTTTCGGTTTTATAACTTTATGGTTATCTCGTTTGGCCCAGTCCAAAAAAAAAAACCTACAACTAGGCTGAATCATCAGTAAATATTAGAAATAAGTTTTTATATTATCTGCGGATTTTTTCATCTTTGTCCATACCCCCAATTAATTTCTCCTTGAATTACATTAACAGTGAACGATACCTCCACCGTTACAAAATTATTGTTTAAGATTATAACAAAGTAAAAAAAATTACCATCCAGTCATGTTGCATTAAACTCGGAGGCATGTAAGGTTGCATCGCTGCCTGGGGTGGAAACTGCTGAGGGTACATATTGTTAGGCGGAATGCCGGGTTGTAACGGTTGTGCTAAATCATTCGGCGAGTCGGGCATCAATTGAGGAGGTGAGCCGATGGTACCAGGCGGGTAGCCTTTGGGTTCGGGCCACGGTTTGTCTTTGTAAGATATTACGGAATCCACGTTGCCAGTTTGATCTTTAAGGGGAATGATCGCTGGCTCCGTATAGGCGTGTATTTCTAAATCAGGCTCAGCTGGCGAATCAGGAATTCTAAAAAAAAAAAAAATTACGAATAAAAATAATTATCAAAGTTGTCAAGATTTATAATAGAAAAAATAAGTAATAAAATTAAAAAATATTTATTGTTTTACTCAGTGTAGCGTTTTTTTGTAACATTACTACAGTTGAGAAGTAGTTAAATACATTATTAGTCAGCTAAATCGACAGCTACTGAGGTAGTTGAAACAACAATTACAGTTGATAAGAAATGTTTAATTCGACACCATTTTGCAAACTTTTTACTTTTTGTTTGTGAATTGATACATATCATCAATAAAGAAAAATATTTTTTTATAATCTTCTATAAGTCAAATTATCATAAATGCTCTGAATTTAAATATTTTTATATATATATATTTTTTTAAGTTTAAAAACTTGCTTAAATACAATAGGTTATTATTATTTTATTCATATATTTAGTATACAAAATAACATAATAACATACTACATATTCTATTGGTATAATAAAATTATATTAAATATTATTAATTTAGCAATATATTAAATAATACAGAAGTAATTGTCATTTTTAATGTCGTTATTATTATTTCCTTTCTTTTTTTTTTTAATAAGAGGTTTTGTCATTATATTAAAGGAAACATATTTATAACATAATTATATTATACTTTTTAGGAGCAAATATTAGAAGTTAAAGTTTTGTAATTTGTAATTTAAACAAAGTTTTGTCCAATGCTGCTCCTAATTCTCCTTGATAATGTTATTTATCTACTTAAATTATTTAAATGCATAGAAAAATAATTTTTAAAATACTTACAAAGATCGGTTGAAATATATTTCTTGCAAAGTAGTCCTTTCTCTAGCTCGCTGAGTTTCCTTTTCGATACTGTTTTTACCAGATACTACAAGGTCGCCAACAACGTCGATAGGAATCAATGGTCGCCAAGGGATCTTTTCCTCCATTATGTCGTCTGAAACTATAAAAAAAAAAAAATTCATTACGGTAATGAATAATAAAATGTATTTTTAAATTCATTTTGTTTAAGATATAAATAAATTTTCATGGCTGATGTTGAAGAATTAATAGCCCTTTCTCCTCCAGATAAAAAAAAAAATAAATGAAGAAATGAACATAAATAAATAAGCTGGATTATAAACAGAATAATTAGATTGTATACAGCTATTTTAATAACAAATCTTTATAATTAATCAAGAAAAAAAAATTCTATTCTTTCAAAATTTATTGTAATCACTAATAATTTAATGAGAAAGAATTACAAAGGAAATTTGTATTTTGTTTATTTTATAAGTAAAATGGAGGAGGTTACTTAATAAAAAACATATTATATTAACCATTTCTCAATAGAGTTATCCTGGGAAGTTAAACCAAATTTCTTCACTAAAATATAAAATAATAATAATTGTGTAATTATATAGGAGATAGGTTCGAATACTCACCTAGTTTTCTGGACAGCATAATCCTCTCATTTATCCGTTCATTTTGCTTCATGTCCATGAATGGTTTGGTAACATTAACTGAAAAATGGCAAATTATCGATAAGATAATAGAACTATAATTTAGTCTAAGATAACTTATATTCAAAAATAAAACAATAAATACCTCTTTCCGTTTCATCTAATTCAAAATATTGAATCGATTCCAGTTCTTTATCAGATTTCCATTTCACGTTCTTTTTAATAGTTTTATACTTTTTAACGTATACCAACACTCCTTTAGGTAATCTATTTTTCTCCCTTTCGACATTTTTCTTTTCCTCCATTTTTAGAACTTGGTCTATTGCTTCTTCCGCTTTTGCGACTTCATCTTCTATTTCCTCTTTGGTCATGATTTCCGATTGATCTATAATAAAATAAATGTTTAAGTTTTTTTTTTTAGTTTTTTTATTATTATGACAATAATTAGGGGTAAAATTTTAATAATTTTTTTTTTAAATATATATTTTAAGTTTACCTGATTCACTCTTCTCAATTTCCTGATCAACCTTTTCTTCAGAAGAAGGTTTTTCTTCATTACTCTCGGCTTTTTCCGCCTTGATTTCTTCAGACGTAATTAAAGTATCCTGATAAAACTGTAATAAAAACGAAAGCGTCATTAAATAAACACCAAATCAAACGTAAGAGTGCTACATAATAATTGTGAAATTTTTCTCTGTATTTTTAAGTTTAATGCAAAGATATTTCTAGCTTAAAAAACAAATCATTTAAAATCACGACTATAAGGATAGTTTACAATAAATGAAAAATTATATTGTTACCTTCAACACGGGTTTAATGGCTTCCTTGCTCTCTTTTTCTTCCGTTTTAGGAACTGCATTGCATTCTTTTTTAGCGTCACTTGGTGAATTACTTGTACTTGATCTCCGTTTGCGTTTCTTTATATCTTTCACGGGGTTAGCTGCTGTCAGAGCGTCAGCAAACACATCACTTTCCTGAAGACCTGAAACTATATTTATTAACATCAAAATATGAACAAATAACAAAAAAAATCTTATAATTTTTAAATTATAATTTATAGAGTGCTCTGTTGTTTCTTAAAGATATTTTATTGAAAATATAAATAAGTGCGACCAAAATAACGCCTCATGTTTCAACATATTATTACTTACGAATGATTTTTTATTCTCTCCCCTAAATAAACTTAGAAGTACGATATTATATTTGTATCAATACCTGTCAATGAATATTATTGGTACAATTTTCAATAAAGCTCTTGATATGATTTTATAGAATAATATATAAGTTTAAAGACAGCTCAGCACATATTATTTTATTCCAATTCATTAAATCAATATTTCTTAACTACATACATTTAAAGCTTAAGTAAATCTTGACTAATAATACATAATAATAATCTGAAGGAAGACAAACTTAAAGCCAGTTTACCAACATATGTAATCATTAATTTGTATGGATACAATTAGAATACATATATTGATTACATAAATCTCTACTTTTCCTCTTATTTCTATTTTTATAAATGGATTTTGAATAAATAGATTGCTAATAAAAGAAGTATGGATGGTATTAAATATCAGTATTTCAAATTATTTGATGTTTCAGTCAAACTAACATTAAAAAATCTATATTTTAGTTCAGATTTAACAAAATTGATAATTGCATTTAATGTGATTTTATTTAAAAGATTATTTATGTACATACATGGCAATCGACGAAGAAACATATTGATCCAAAATTTAAAAAGTATTTTTATAAATATAATAAAACTTCATATAAAAAAAAATAACCATAAATATTTAACTAATATGGATAACAAACAAGATAACACAAAGCCCCAACTAATTCCATTGTATAAACAAACTAATAAGATCTTCATAACAAAAATTATAAATAATAAAATTTTTCAAAGACTTCATTCAGATATCCAATCTAATTAAATTAAAAATATATGTGTAGAATTGTGCATTTTATGCAATACTCTCATATTTATTTTTTAAGATGAATATTTACTTTAAATTAGGGGCAAAAAGGTTCACATTGAAAATATCGTTTTGTCTTATTGTTTTTTGAACAGGCTTAGCAGGAAAAAAAACTGTAGTTCCATGAATAAACTAATGTTGAACTGTGATTTTAGTTAAAATAGGATTTCACGACATAGAGGTAGTAAATTTTGTACTATTTAAAAGTAAACATGTTGAAAAACATTAGCAGTCTTTGTAATCGAATGATTTCATAAAAAAAAAAAAAAAAAAAAAAAAAAAATTGAAGACGTAAATCATTGTTGGAATTGAATACAGAAAACAATTACAGCTATTCTTTAGTGTAAAACATCAAAGGCAATATCTTAAAATATTAGATTTTTACTTTGTTATAAGAATTTTATTTAACTTTAAGGATTTAAAAATATTTTCAATCTCATACTAAACTTTCAAATGTTTTAGCAACACAAACAAAGTTTTTGAGCACAGTGAAAACTGGTTTTCTTTATATTTAATTTTTGCCCATTCTTAAGAAAACTAAGGGTTTGATGAATATCATAATTTTTGTATTTATTATTTAAAATGTAACAGTTTATTCAATAGAAATTGTATTTAAATAAAATTAAAGGTTAATGTAAAAGTTTGACTGTAAATCAGATAATTAAAAAAAAACAAAATAAAGCAATATGAATCTTATCAAATAATGAGCTTGATACTCAAAAATTAAATATATGTAGAATATATTGTATCAATTTCGTTTTATAGAGTGCTTGATTTGGGATATATATATATATATTTTTTAGGCTTGTGATTTTCAAGGCTAGGCCATTGATTTTTAATAAGAGCTGTCCATGAAATAATCATCAACTGTTCTTCTACAATTGAGTCCAAGATTTTGGAGAACTTTTTAAGGTGATCTGCCGAGTCTTATATCCATGAAAAGTTCATTTCGTTTTTCAAAGTGGACAGACCAGGATTGTAAAATACGACCTCTTTTAAGGTTATATTTTGTTATGTTAATGATTTGATCAGCTCCTTAAGAAGAGATGACAGTGAAGAACTCTTGATTTCAGTAGTGTACAATTTCTTTTCATATAATAGAATACAATAGATTATGTTTATTATAAATGGGGAACTTAGAAAATATTCTTAATTTGTATTATTAGAATTTTATATGCTTATTAGTAGTGAAAAAGTAGTTCTTCTTTTTTCGAGGTTATATAAATCATTTTGTCCATGGCTGTTGATGGAGTAGCTAAAATCGCCAAAACACCAACATTACAATTCTTGGTACATTGAAATATACTTATTTAAAAATAAAGTATTAACTAACATAAAAAAAACAAAAATACTTATTGGTTAAAGAGGATGAGGGGTGTCAGAAATAATTCCAATTAAACCAGTTCAAATTTATTCAAGAAATAATATATTTATACATACCTGAAAAAAAACACCCAGACCCAAAAACAAGCACACAACATATAAAATAGCCATGACATACATTTTTTTTTTTTTTTTTGTTATATGACAGAACAGGTACATCATTATTTTTATAATTTAATTGTTCACCTTATCCTGTTTTCTTTGTATTAATCATAAAATACAACATAAATATGAATTACCAAAAATAACGCAAAATTATGATAAAATCATTTCATTAAATTTTAAAAATCATAAAAAATATGTAACTTCAAAGCTTACACCAAATCCAACCTGTCTGAAGGAAACAGCTTAGAAATAAATACTTACTTGTACATTCACTAAAACATACCATACTAACTTAATATATAAATATTTAATATTTTCAATCAAAAGTACATATTTTGTAAAACCAAATGATAAAAAAATATGCACTTCGAATTCACCAATTTATAAGCATAAGATTGAGATTAGTACCACAATGATTTTACAACTTTTTTTTAAAGGTTATGTTAAATTCTAATATTTACAGAAACCCTTAACAAATAAGTTACAAGGTAGATTTTTGAGATTAAGAGAAATGTTTCGGATTTCAGTAATTTTAACATTAAATTTGAACTTATAGTATAGTATACAAGTATCTTAATATTACAGGTAATTAGTAGAAAACAAAATACTTATCTAGAAGACATATACATATGAAATGAAAGATTAAGTTAAAGATTTTTTTATTTTGACTACCTCCTTATTAATTAATTAACACTAAAAATTATTATAAGTTTGTCATTTCTAATCCTTTTTTAAAATTTAGTGTGATGATTAAAAATAAATACGAATATTTTTCTTATAAATGACAGATATGGGCATAGGAAACTATTATAAGACGCCATTTTGAGTTTATGATGTCATCAGATATTGACGATTTGTAGATTCCAAAATTTAAAATAAAATATATATAAATAAATAAAATCGTCAATTAACCCGAAGAATTAATGTTCACAACTTTTTTCCATAACTTGGAATTCGACCGATATTTATTTCGCATTTATTAGTCACCAACAGCTAATCTTCGGAAGTGGAGAATAACATCCGCCATCTGTCCAAAATGGCGACCGAGATTACAGGTTTTGTAAACCCGTATCTCTTGCAATTATGAAGGCGGAGTAATAAATTACTAAGCAATTATACTGATACCGAAAGCGTAAGAAACAAATTTGAATGTTTTTCTAATTTTTTGTTTTATTAAGACGGGTTTAGACATTTCACTAACTATCGGAAAAACAAATATATGAATGGTTATTTCACTATGCTAGTATTTTTGATTCTTGTTTTTGATCTGTTTTATCTGCTGTCGGTATCAAGAGATGAAAAAGAAGAAACGAAACACAAGTAACAACCATTTAAATATTTGTTTTTCGCACATAGTTTGTGGAATGCCTAAATGCACCTTCAACTTAGCACCAAAAAAGTATATAACAATGGCGAAATCATTTGGCATATTTCTTAATTTTGAAAACTAAATCGACAAATCATCGATATAAGAACATATGATAATGTTTTTGTAATATTTCTATCACTAATTATAATTAAATTTAAAATAATAGAAATACAGCTCATTAGCTGATAACAATATACAGTGGTGTTGTAGCGAATGTTTTATCAATGACCATAACACCAAAGCATACTTAAATACACTAGTGGATCCAGCATTTAATTTGTTTGGGAAGGGGGGACTTCAGTCCATAAGCTTTTATATTTATATTTATATTTATTTATATATATATATATATATATATATATATATATATATATATATATATATAGAGAGAGAGAGAGAGAGAGAGAGAGAGAGAAAGAGATTATAAAACATAATTACTTTGGAATAAAAATAAATAAAATAACTACCTATTTGAAATGATGTTCACGTTATTCTCGAAGTCCTATTAAACATAATTACACTGACAATAATACTTCCTAAGACATGGTTATATTTTGCCATTTTGGGAGGGGGGAGAGAACTTCAGCCCGATCAACCAACAGAATGTGATATTCGATCCGATCCGAGAAAATAAGTTCTACAATTATCGATATGTAAAATAATCGATCAGAAGCCGTATAATTATAAAAAATATAATTAAAACGATAAATACAAAACTAGACTTTTTGTCTTCTCAATTATATTAATTACGTAAACTGAAATTATAAAAAAAAATCTCAGGTTACGATATCTATCCGAAACAGTCCAACAGAATATACTGTGCAATTGTAATTAGAATTAACTAACTTTTATATATTAAAACTGTGTATAAAAAATAAATAATTAGACAAGCTAATTTTTTTTTTTAAACCTAAAACAAAGCAACAATCATGAATTAATTAATAGCAACATTTCTATAATTTTGACGGTTTTTAAATATGTTGAAATGACTTTGAACTGGCTTAAAATTGTTCAATTTTTTTCAACACCTTCCTTAACAGGACATTACATGGGCTAAATTAATAAATATAAAATTATTCATTATTTTCGCACTATATTCTCCACAAGCTTATCACTTCAATGCGTCTTTTACTACGCCATCGACTTACC